TATGATATTTAGAGTTATTTAACCAAAAGAAACTACAGTGTGAAATCGTTGGTTTGCTCTGCATTCAAAATTATTTTCTCTCTAAAGCAATCACTTTGACGGGATAGATTAAAGGACTCGTAGGCCATTGCTGAAAATTTCCACAAGCATCAGTGCGCCTCTTTGAAACCAATAAAATTTATTTATTAGACTTCTCTAGGCGAGGGGGCTCAAAGGATAGAGCGCTCACCTTCCTTGATGTGAACCGGGTTCAAATCCCAGCGATGGCTGGTCGATAGGAATTCCGCACTCAGCTCGCACGCCCCTGACGTAAAATATCCTCAATGATATGGTTCATGGGTTAGAGTTCCCTTGCCGTCAGGCAAACCATGAGAAGTCTTTGCGATTTTCCTCTAAACGCAACGCAAATGGGGGTTTGCTCCATCAAAAGGTCCTCCACGAAGGCAAATTTCTCTTAAAACTTGATCCAAGAGTTCCTTTGTCTTCCGAATTGGGTTCAAAATGACAAGGCTACGGAGTTGAACATTAGTAGTCAGACAACCCAAAAAATTGAGTCGGCTGTTCAACGACAGTAATAAATATAAATATTAGTCTTCACTGATTTTTATTTGATATATTTTGTTAATTTATTTATTTGTAATGAATTTATATTAAAAATTGCTTCTCCATTTTTCTTTGTCGCTACTTGTATTGAATTTATGAACAGAACTGGTTTACCCTTGAGATGAATGACGTTCCGACTGTAAGAAAGCACATTGAACATTTGTACCGGAAATATATTTATTGTATAAATGTGTATCATCCATCTTCGTACACTGTATAAACAAACAGTTTTTTGAAACCAGAAAATCATTTAGGTTAATCTGGTAAAATGAAAACCAGTAGTAAATTTTAATATATTTATACAGTTATTATTTTCCCCTGTATAATTAAAAGTAGAGGACGTAGTAAAGTTTAAAGTATCTTTCCCCCTGTATAATGTAAACTGCAGCAAATTTCAACAAATTCCTTATTATTTTTGGTTAAACAGGACAGGTAAATTCAAGTTTTTTTTCATTTTGTCATTTTTATTTGAAGACAAAACAAAATAGCCATCACACAAAAAGAAAAAATAGTGTTAAATTTATTCATCACACTCGACTGCACAACCAAAAAGAGTACCTTACTTTGTTTAGACATAAAATGTTTGCATTGTAGACTTCATTTTCTACCAGGCGATTCATGAGTAAAATAAATTTTTTTCTTAACATATACACTCATAAAAATTCTAAAAAATCGAAGACATTCTAAACATGTGATGCTCATGACAAAAATCCTTGTAGTCCAAACAAAAATGGACATTGCAAAGTGAGGCCACTGTATCACGAGTACACAAAACCCATAAACACTTCACTTCTCTCACAAAAACATTATTTTTTCATCGACTTTATCTAAAATTTTTAACTAATGTTCTAAGAATATAGTGTTACGCTGCTTACGAGCAGCCATTCTTGCTAAATAAATAATATAAGTCCAAAGAACTGTTAAGTAAAAATAACCTTGAAGAAAGTGATAAATATTACGTGAAAAGAGCGAATACCATCTTCAGTCAAGAAAAATATGATTGATGAATTTATTCATAACCTTTGTGCAGTTGTCAAACCATTTCTTTTACGATAAAGGCGAAAACACAGGTTTTCATTTAATATAACTTGCATAGTTATCCGACTCACGTTCTCTTCTGCAGCTATTTTATTAGCAGAACGTTGTGGATATATTTGTATCTATTCACGAATTCTTTTAATGCACTCTTTTGTACGAACTGAGAGTGAACGATCAGACCTGGGTCGCTATTAGTACCCAATAATCGATTTATAGTTCGATATATAAATGTTCTATAGCACCAAAGAGATTTTAATTGCTTAAACATTCTACTTGCAGAAAATTCGAGATCGAAAAGTTTTTTAACTTTAACTATCAATCTTTTCCATTCCATCTTTAAACTGATTCTAAATATTTTTTTAATCAAAAATCGTCTGCACTTATAGAACTCACAGGAATAGTGAGAAAACAATTGTTTTACCAAACGATTAAAATTAATTCCCATTTATTGGAGTGTAACAGTATTTAGTAGTCACTCTGTATAATAAAAAATATTCAATATTTTACCACCTTTTTAAGATTTTGAATATTAAAAACGCCCAGAATGAACTAAGATATGAGTGGGTAGTCCTACCACTCCTCCTTCATTCATAGAAAATTTAATTTTATATTTATTCAGGGGTATATCATGACTTGAATCCTTTCCCAGAAACTTAAGCTATTCATTCATTTTCAAAGGAAAAATATTTGTTTAGAAAGCATAAAAAATATTTACCACTGGCTTTTGGAGAAATTTTCCTGTAACTAAAAAAAAAAAAAAAAAAAAAAAAAAAAAAANAAACAGGAAACAAAAAAAAAAAAAAAAAAAAATCAGCCCCTAAGTTGGAATTAAGGGTTTAGTTCAGACGTTCTAATGACCTTAAAAATAACATTACAACTACTGAGTTTATACATTGGTCATTGTAAAGGAAGGGTTGTACTAAAGAGCATTGACTGTAAAATGACTTTTAATCTATTTTATGGCAATACTTTACTAAAAATACTTTATTTAGCATTATAGAAAAATACTTTATTCCTAAGAAACTTTTTTGGAGAGGGAATAAATAATATAAGTAGTATTTCTCAATGGAGGCTAAGATATACATAAATAAAATACAGTAAAACTATGTCAGAACTTCATTTCCATAGCTTTAGTTTTAAGAAGATATTTTAATGTTTCTTTTTTGTTTTCACAATTATAAATTTCAGTTCTTTTATTTCAGTCATGCATTTCTTAAATATTGTAAAATAAGTTAATAATTTAACTATAATTAGTGTTTTAAAATTTTTCAAAAAATAATGTTTAAAACCCTAGAGGCCTAGAACCCTAATGTTCAGCCCCTAGAGGCATTAGCAACAGGCCCTGAGTTCTCTCCTTTAAATGAGACAGTTATAAAGTTTTATTGCAGGGAAATGTTTTATTTATTATTTTTTTAAATCTATTAATTTAAATAAGATGTAATGTCAGATTTTATATTCTTTACATAGAAATTTCTAAAATAGCTAATCCCTGATATTGTTTTGGATCAAAACTTACTGCAAGAGATAAAAAAAATAAATAAATAAATAACTCTTAAAAAAATTTATATAGAGATGTTTCACCCATTAAATTTCCAACTCATTTTTTTTTGTGAAAGGCTTTTAAAAGTAAAACTTAATTTTCATACTATGCAAGAGACATAGAGTTCATGCTAGTATGGCTAGAGTTGTTGCCAAATGTTCCACTAATGTTAGTAAAATTGTATGCATGGGCGACAAATTTGTCGCATTGAAATATGTTTGGATTTTACAAAAAAGTATTTTGTATCAAATTCCATGCATTTAAAAAAATTATACTAATTATATTGTTCTGTATGTGGTATAAAATTCAAATGCGTAGTATTCAATTGGGATAACTAAAAGAATCCGATACAAAATGTTGAAATTTCAAATTTACATTTTGTGCTGTGCTTCGCATTCAGGTAATAACAATATAATTATTTAATGAAATAACAATATATCATATCAATCAATAAATTGAAAATATTATATCAATAAAATAATATTTTTTACTCGTTAAGAGCTGCCTTTATTTAAAATGGTGAGATAATTAATCTTTAATATAATATTTTGTTACCGCCCGGTGGCTGAGCGGTAGCGCTTTGTGCCACAGGTTCTTGGTTCGATCCTCAGGCCGGGCAAGGTTGACTCAGCTTTTCATCCCTTCAGTGGGTCGATAAATGAGAACCAAGCATGCTTGGGAACTAAACACTGGGATTCCGCATTCGGCTGACCGGAACACTTGCTCCTGCACCCCAGAGCCCAAGGTCAAGAAAACTGAGATGGGCACAGTAAGCCTTGGCCCTCTATGAGCTGTCCCGCCACTGAGTTTAGTTTATAATATTTTGTTAGCTCTTGCTTTAATTCCTAATCTATTTATCTGGTTTCAGCATTTTAATCGCTATGTTATATCTATTTATTAATATTATTTTATCTTTTTTTCACTAAACTTTAATAAAAACTAATCTTAAATCATTATGGGATAATGAACTTAATTAGTTTTAGGGTGTTATAGATGGCAATCAATAATTCTAGATTTATATCATAACATGAATTATGTAATCATGAAGTTAAAATTTTCCCCCTCAAGTTTATCTACCATATAAAATTTTAGGTCAACTAAATCAATAGCTAGGTGGTCCTATAGGACCACTAAATTTTCACTACTGATGTGAAACCTAATTATATCTAAAATAAGTGTTTGTATGGTAACTTATTACCACTTACTAATTAATATTGCAGTGCTTCTAAATAGAGTTCCAGCACGTCACTTCAGTTAGAGAGAGAGAGTTACGACAACAGCTTCAAAAATGTCTGAAACAAAGGTTGTAAAAGAGAAAAACAGCAAAGTTCATTGCTAAGATTTGCAAATTTTATTGTAATCTAAATAGTCTAATTTTCTGTTAAAGTTTTTTAATTATAGGTGTTTTTCTGCAGCTACTTTTATTTTGTCAAAGTCTTGTATTAATTTCATTGTCGTTAAAATGATGACAAATTTAACATATAGTCATTAATCAATATTTTTACAAGCAATAAATACTTTGGATAGTTAATATTAATTTTCAAAATACCATAAATTAATACATACTAAAAGTTTTGAGATTCGAAATAAAAAATACCGCATCGACGACTCCATGCTAAGTCTATAGGAAAACGCTTTATTTCTTTAACATACATTTTAACTCTCAACCAATCAAAAAATGTTACTCATTTATTATAACTCACACTGAATATTAGAAATAGGAACACAGTGCATAGTTTTGAGACTCTTTTTTTAAAAGAAAAACTTATAAAAGAATTTTGTTTACTTTATATTGGAGTCCTTTAAAGAAAAGTAGAACTGCGTAAAAAGGTTTTATTAAAATTAGTAAATTTTGTTTACAGCAAATAACTTTTGAAAGATCAAAATATTCAAACAATGTTTAATTACATAAAGTCATCTGAGTCTTCACCATCATCTGGATTTTGATTTGAACACATTGGTCCTTGCATGAGAGATGAATAACTTCTTAACTGAGCTTCTTCTTCTTTTTTCAAAGCCTCTTGCTTTTCTTTCTCTTTTTCAGTCCGTTGCTTAGCCTTCTGTTCAGCTCTCTCCAAACGATCTCTTTCTTCCCGCTCTGATTGAAAGTCAGGGAATTTTTCTTGTTTCGTTTTATTAAGTCTATTTACAATGGCATTAATGCGTTTCTCGACTTTCATTGTCTTGACATTTTTGCCATTATGGAAAGCAACTTGTCCAACTTCCATATCACCTGTCTTTTTCAAATTTGACCATTCTGTGTAAACGACATCAATGTTATTCTTTTTACTTCCAATAATGCTGTTGGCCTTCACAAGTTGAGCGCAATCTTGCAATAAAGGTTCTGGAATACAGTCTATGGTCTGACCTTTTGGTAATCTCAAATAAACATGGGCTGAAGATAAATTGTCAACATGAAACCATACATCCTCTGGAAAACCCCATTTTATCAACGACTCGTTTTCAAATTTATCTAGTCCCATATAAATCAAAGCGGGAGGTGAAACAACATCACTTGTGAAATAAAAAACCATGATTTAATAGTTTTTAAGAATCAGGTGAACGAAAAGATTTAAAATACTAGTTATATGATTTGGATCGCAACAAAATTGTATCGATATGAATTTCAAGCACTTTATAAGTTTAGAATTAAAACATAAATTAAACAAGTTTACAGAGTAACGTGAATATTTGACAAGGAAAAGAAAGAACTAAAGACTACTAACCGATATTATCTGTTTGTTTATCCCAGAAAGGAAAGGTGTGTACATGGATATCTCAAAGAGAAATAATGAAACAAGATATGCTTATAGCTTACTAGATTGAAAAAAATCAACATACAGAAAATAGCAACCTAAATCAAACAAAAATAGGTAACCAAAAGCGCATTAATATAAAGAAAATTGTAAACAAACAAATTTCAACAAGAATCGTGTTACTTTTTTGTCTTGTAATGAGTTTTCGTTATTTTAGAAGATTAATATCCCTTACAAAGATAGAATATTCATATCGTTTTTACAGCAGAAATGTATCGCGACGGAAAACTTTTAGGATATCAAATTCTTCAGAAGATTCTGTAACATCTCTTCAGCAAAACAATCTTTTGAAATTACAAGTCGGCAATCAGAATAATGATAATTTAAAAAGCGTTTTTCACCATTGTGAAACTAACTCAAATGTGTCTCAGTATGAGACGCTTGAAGCAAAAAACTCTCGCCTCATGTATGTAATTATGACATTATTTAACATTTAAACTTTCTTTTTTAGATAAAGATGTCATTTATGTAAATCGCGTTTGCAATTTATTCTTTCAAAGGTATCCCTATTGGGAGGACATTTCTGTATCGGGATCTGCCGCCCCAACTATGATCGCCCGGGCAACAAATGTATTTTGAATTTGTAAACTTTTTAAAAAAACATGTAGAGATTTGGGGTGGCTACGAGTTATATCTTTTGAGTTGGTCCCCTTCTGTGGTATTTTTTGTTGTTTTAAGTTTCTCGCGAATCGTTTCCCTAAAGCTGCTTAGACTTGGCGATCTCTGTGTGTTGTGATTTTATATGTGTCATACTGCATATTGTGGAATAAATTTCAGTGAATTGAAGTCAAAACCAGAAAATTTAACTTAAAGCCAGTGTTAGAAAATTATTCTTTTTAATGTATTTTATATTATCACTAAATGTAAATTAAAATTGACAAAAAAAAATAATTTTTTTTTTTTTAGACAGTACTTTAATACCTTTCATCCATATTGTGAATTTATATTGTAAGTTTATCTTAAAACTAATAAATAAACCTAGATATTTGGTACATATCTATATCAGGGAATGCAGAACAATTGTCTAAATATAATTTGATGTCACCAGTGACTATTATCACTGGTTCAAAGAATCATTAATTGAAAGATTTCTCCAATTCTTCCACATTGTTTCCCATTCCTCTAGTTCATTAACAAAATATTAACAATTTTTAAAACAAAATAAATTCATTGAATAATATATGCTTAAAGTAAAAAAATAAAAAGATATAAAAATTATGACTGAAGCTTTACATATATTTAAATTTTATTATTAAATTAATTAGATATTTCATATTTATCATAAATGAATCAGTATATTAAAAGTTAAAAAAAGGTGAAATTAGTTAATAAAATTTTTAGAGGCAGTGTCAGATAAAAAAAACAAGTGTATCTCTTATCATCCCTTTATGCTCGATTGACTTTAATCAGTTGCAAGTTCAAGATAACAGTGATAATTATTTCATGATCAGGGGTGTGCTTAGAAGAAATTTGGGTCCGTTACTGAACCATTCACAAAATATCATTTCAAAAAAACGGACCCTTCACAAAATATTTTAACTTCAAAACGAACCCTTCACAAAATGATTTTTTTTAATCGGACCCTTCACAAATTTGTTTATCTTAACTCAGGGTTGGCAGGTTTTTGACATGTGACAGTTTAAACCATGGTTTAAACCGTCACGTCAAAAACCTCACTGTCAAAAATGTCAAAAACCTATATTCATATGTGAAATTTAATTAATACATAAAATTTATATATTTTTTAAAGGATAGTGTTTCTAAATATGTTCTAGAAAAAATAAATTTAAAATTTTGAAGAAACACTTATATTTTGAATAGTAACCAAAATCTTGTACTTTTGAAAACTCACATCTTTTGTAATATTATGTATTCATTTTCATGTGTTATTGAAAATCTGCAGTGATATTATTAAGAAATTTATTTATAACCAAATTTAGTGTATAGTATAGATTATACTAAAAATTAGACATTTTTAAAGATAAACATTAGCAGTTTTGTACATTAGACATCTTTTAAAGAAAAATCTTTTTAATATTCTTTTAAATCTTCTTAATAATCTTTTTAACATAAGACAATACAAATTTAAGTGCTTTCTGTTAAATACACAGAGTAGTTAGTGTCGATTTACAGTATATTCAGCCTATTCATTTACTATGCTGAAAATTTAGTTTATCCAAATACTTGTGAATTTCATTTTGCTGAATACTATATAGTTTTGTTGAATATCTAAATATTCAGCTGTTGAATAATTACTTCTTGCTTTCAAGATATGCATTATTTGTATTCTTAATACAAGTGGAGAAAAAAAAATTAAGAGATAAAAATTGTTTTAAAATGATAAGTGTAATAATTATAAATAAATATAATAAACAATATGAATTATATTTATCATTATTCATAAATATAACTACTTTTAAATTCACATTAACATACAGGATAATAAAGATATTCGGTATAACATTAAAATTTTTTTTTTATACACTTGTATCTTATATCAAGTTTGTATTTATACAACATAACTTGTAAGTTCCTTATAAATATTAGTTATATGTTCCTTATCTGTCAAAAATGCATAGTAATAAACTTTTAATTTTCTTAAGTATCAAAAAGAAGAAAAAAAAGTTTTTTTAATATAAATATTTAAACAATTTTTGTGCAAAATTTTTCTGCACATGCATTTGAATATAAATTTCTGAGATTTTAAATCTGTTATTTTACCTTAATTTTAATTAAAAAATATTTTAAAACCTGCTGATTACCTATAGTATAATTAAATTTCAATATAATGCATGGCAACTGTTGGTAGTTTTGAAGTTTATATATTTTCTTGGCAAACTTCAGTTTTTGACGGTTTAAACCAGTATTATACCCTTGTCATGTCAAAAACCACTTTTTGACGTCAAAAACCCAACCCTGTCTTAACTATTGTTTTGTTAATTGAATAAACCCTTCCCAGGGCAGAAAACAAGAAAGATGGATGTAAACGAATTAAGTTTGTCTTCAGTAGACGATTCTTCCATTATTCATCCAAAAGGAATATTCTGTGTTTCACAGTATAGGCTAAATACCAAATATTTGTATGTTGCATCTCTAATTTAGAAGCAGCAATTGCTGTTTATTTTTGAAAATTGAATTTTTTTTATGTTTTTACATTTTTTAAATTTTATATTTTTACAGCATAATCTTGTATCTATTTTCAATTTAAAAACTCCTTGAAAAAGTTTTTGCAATAAGGACCCTATTCGCACAAATTCATAAAAGCAGGACCCTGGTTGAAAGAATGTGACTTAATGTTTATTTTATATTCACAAATTACGAGCAATTTTTTCACAATTTTACAAAAACGGACTTTTTGCAAAATGTCTGGACAGACCCCAATGATGGTCATCGTTCGAATTCAATCCAGGACCAACTAACCTCCATTGATTTTGAGCCCTGTAATATATGTGAATTGTCCAACTGCAAAACTCTGTCAGGGACATCTAGATTTTTCTTTATAAATGCGAATAACTTCTTTTGTAGGCTTAACATATAGACAAAAGATAATTTATGTTTTTTTGCAGAATTTATTTGCAAGTAAAATAGGAATTGTTGCTTTATAGTGTAGACTTATATTGTTAAATTTTTGAGTTAGATTGTTCTATTGTAGACTTTATATGTAGACAAAAATAATTCATGTTTTTTTTCTATGTTTTTTACAGATTGTATTGTTAGTAGAATTGGAATTGAGTTATAAAACTTTTTAAGCACCGTTTAGATATTTTAATTTTAAGTAAGAATAATTTTTGTTATTGGCTTAATATACCAACTCTCTAAACAGATGAACATACATTGTTCTGTGTTTTTTTGTAGTAAAGGGAAATAACTTCCTTTAAGGTTAATTTCACTTTCTGTAAGAAAAACAAAATGCATGTATAAATAAATAAGTAAAAAAATATATATGAAAAAAATTTGCATCTGATATTTATTTAGTTTGAAGCTAAAGAGTTCATATAAAATATTGATTTCTATTCTATTAGGAAAACTCTTATCCCTAACTTCTATCACAGAAAGGTAATTTCACTTTAAGTGAGAAAAATGTTTGTACAAAAAAAGGAACAAATGTCTTCATTTCATGTAAAAAAAAAAATGTCTGTTTGGTTCATGTAAATTTGACCAAACTTACTTTGTTTGAAATTAGAGAGCTCATATAATATATTAATCTGTATTAATTTCTATTAGGAAAACTCTTGCCCTTATTAGAAGCCGAAAATTGAGAGAACGGAAAGAAAAAATGGTTTTGGAAGGGAAAGTGTTGATCAGTGATGCCATTAATGCTGGCATGAAACTCAATGCTCTTTATTTTTGCCAAGATACAGTCCTTGAAGAGATTAACTGTGAAAAAATGAAAAAAGTAGAATTTTTCAAGATTGCACCTAGAACTATGCAGTTATTGTCTGAAAGTTCTCCTGAGGTCATAGGTAAAACTTGTTTTTTATTCTCAAAGTGCGAGAGTATTTATTATTTTTGCATCTTTCTATTTTTTGAATTTTTAAAATAGTCATTCTTTTTTTTTTTATCTCATTAAGTGAGTGACTTAAAAGAAGAAACACTTTCTCGTCATCATTCTCATTATTTTTTCATTAATGTTGGGAAGATTTTTAAAAATTTGAAGTTTGTCTAGTAAATTTCATTTACTTACCATTAATATTAAATATTTGAAAAAATGAGGTATCGTAATACTTACTTTTTAAATATATAATACATGAAAAATCTATAACTTCTCACAGAAATTGTTGTGTTTTAAAAATTATACCTTGACATGTTCTACTAAATTCTTCAATATTCTATTGTTGTTCCATCTAATATTCTTTGATATAAAGAGTTAATTATTTTCTAATTATAAAATGATTTTTTCAGGTGTTTTTCAAAGACCATCTGTTGATGATATAAAGTTGTTATCAGAACATGTGATACCTGTCACCATACTTTGTGATAACATTAGGGATCCAGGAAATTTAGGATCAATTATTAGACATGCAGCTTCTGCTGGTTGCCGCAATGTTTTATTGATAAAAGGTGATTCATCTAGTTTTAACTATCTCAATTTACTATGTTAAAATGGAGAAGAGATATTTATTTCGTGATACATTAAATTCTGCCACAGCCACTTTATCTTGTTTTTGTATCTGTTAATGTGTAATTGAAGTTTAAGAGTATGATCAGTTTGTCCAATGTATGCAAGACCACATTGACATGAAATTTGATAATTACCCCAGCTATTAATGTCAGCAATAGGATTTTCAAGGTTGGTGAATATTAGTATATTTACAGGGGGGAAAAGCGACTTAAAACTAAAACTTAATCAAAATCTTATCATTAGGGAATCTGATTTTCTTGTAATAATTTAAAACAATCAAATTGTTAAAGTTCGATTTAGGGAGTTTGGTAAATTGTGAGATTAATTTTCTGTAGGTGGAATCAATAATATTAGAATGAAAACCATGACCTAAAGTGATAGCTTTAAAATAAAGAAGATCTTCATTGATGAGATAACTATTTGAAAAAATTTTAGAAGCTCGGTAAACAAGTTTGCATAAGGCAGATAACTTTTGGTTGGGGGGAGCTGAACGATTATGAGGGGGAAATGAAATCCCAAATGATTTTCAATAACTAGTAGCGAGAAATTAATGAGCCTATTGCTAAAGCCGAGTAAAGGAGTCAATTTGTGGTTCTTGACAAAGTTAAATATCTAGAGGAATCTCAAACATTTATTGATAAAGGTTCATATAGTTGATTACTTCAAGATCCAAGATGAATGAGTTGAATAAAATAAAATCTGCCGTTAAAACTTATTATTTTTTCTAATCATCTGAAATATTCTCTTACACCTACTAATTCACACTGTGCAGGGTTTTATGCTTTACCTAAAATTCATAGGGTTTGCACTCCTTTTTGACTCATTATTTCTAACATTGGCACCGTTTCATTTAAATTAGCCACGCATCTTGCTTAAATTTTGTCCCCACATTCTAGTGTGAATTCATATACTATCAGAAACTCATGATTTTGTTAATGAGCTTCATACGTTCAAATCTAATGATAACAAAATGCTCTCCTTTCATGCAAAGTCTTTTCACTAACCTTTTCATTAATATTGCCTTAAAATAGGATTATATTAATTCCACTTTAACCAAGATGGAATGGACAAATTTGTAAATCTTACTTGCATTTGCTTGGAACAGCCCACTGTGACATTAAGTCACAGCCTAATTTCTAAATATCCTGTTTTGTTAATCAAAATACTTATTTTTTCGGCTTAATTTATAATTTTATGATACAATTTTTATTCTCTTCATCTTTTTTCTTCTCACCCCTTAACGCGTTAGCGCANAATAAAAAATCATAACAAACGTTGTGACACCTTGAGATGTACAATGAGGTGTACTTCTATTCCTTACAAGTGCAAAGAGAATTCACACTCTGCAAAAATCCAAAAAAATTTGTATGTAATAAGAGTGACTTATGACATACTAGAAAAGGAAAAAAATTATACTGTACAGAACTACAGGGTCGAAAAACAAAAAAAATTGGCATTCAAAATCTTTCATCACCCCAACGTCACGCTGCTCCCTGGCAGGACGTTTTTTTCCCCCTTCCTCTTTTTTGAGGAAGAGAACATCTTTTGGGATGGCGTCACGTCTACCGCCATGTTGGCAAGTCAATCTGCTGTGCTTTTCGTTTTCTCTGATTAATGTCTACTAAGTAATTTCCTGATGAATCTCCTGCTTTTAATATGATCCGCTGCCCAGACACCGCCATTGATGGACTCCTTCACAGTCATTTCTAGCTTTATGCTTGGGATATCCCCTGCTTTTAATATGATATTGATGGGACGCATGGCTACCCAGACACCGCCATTGATGGGCTCCTTCACAGCCAGTTCTAGCTTTATTGCAATGCTGTTTTAATCTGTCAAAAGAAAGTCCCGAAAATATCGGCAGCTGTTCCTTTTTGAAAATAGTTCGGTCTCCTGCTCCAGCTACCACTAATAACCATATTTATTAGACGTTGTGCCATAAGATGTTATGCATCGCTGTGGTAATTTTTAGATGTTGTGCCTCGTAAAGATCCAATAAACACCAAAGTTTTAGTAAAAAAAAAAGAACTGGACTACTTCATTTTCACTAGCCATGGTTTTTTTGTTTTCATCCTAGGTCTGGATAGCTTCTATGGAGAGGAGGTATGTCTTTTGTAGAATATATTTGTTATCTTCTGGAACTTTAAAAATTAATATTCCTCCTGGGTTGTAAAATTTGCAACACCACTTCAAAAATGTACCACTATATTTTTCACCCGGCCATTAATTTTTAGTTTTTCCTTTTTAAATTGTTATCACTTGCTTGTTAGCAGCTTTTCATTCCTTTTTTTATTCTATACCCAACCGTAACAGGGCACCCACCTTCCCTTTTAATGGTAAATTTTATGGAGTGATTGATGGCTTTGCTGTGGGTAATTCTCTCAGTCTCCTCTTAAGTGACCGGTATATGCACTACTTTGAAGTGAAATTCTTTGATTTATTAAAGTTCGCTTTTTATGGACGATATGCCGGCCATTGTTTCACATTGATGGACAATACTGACATTGATCATGTTCTTAATATTATGAATTCTATAGATCTTTGCATACAATTTACATCAGAACAGGAAAATAATAAGTGTTTACCTTTCTTTGATATTCTTATTGCTCTTAATTGCAATAAATTTCTCACAACTGTTTATTAAAAACCATTTACAGTGTTACTCCCTCCTCCTAATCATTCCTCCCACCCCCCCAACCAAAAGTTAGGTGCCTTATGCACACTTATTTACCACGCTTCAAAAATAGTATCTACAATTATCTTCACAACAAGGAGCTGCTTTATCTTAAAGGTATCACTGTAGGTCGTAGTTTTTAATCTAATATTATTGATTCTACCTATAGAAAATTAATCTTGAAGTCTACTAAACTCTCTATATCAAACTTAAACAATTAGATTGTTTTAAATTGTTATCCAGAAATCAGTTTCCGTAATGGTAAGATTTTGAATAAATTTGAGTTTAAAGGCGTTTCTTCCCCTGTAAATAAACCAAAATTCACCAACCTGATATTGCTGATATTAATAGCTGGGGTGATAATCAAATTTTGTGTCAATGTGGTGTTGCATAGATTAGACAAACTGAACGTACCCTTAAACTTTGATTTAAAAGACACAAAAGATACTTCCAATATGTGGGTGTTAACCAATTTTCTAATGATGTACACAGTTGGAATTTAAATCGCAGGTTTGATTTTTATTCTACTAAAATCATTCAACACAGGCTCTTCGCCTTCTGAACTTAATTTTTGGGAGTGATTATGTATTTTGAAAATATCTAATAGTCTTTCGAGTATCCCACCCTTTCCCAATGTATGAAAGTTCATTTTAATTTGACCCTTAAGGTTCCTGCTAAATACCCTCCCACTTGTGTCTTATCTCTTCATTGTTTTTTCTTTGTTCAATGTTTGAAATTGTTTCTTTGTTCCTTTGTCCCTATTAATTAAACCAATTTATGCATGTTTGTCTCTTTATTTCTCTACCTTCATTTGATGTTTAGACAACAAGGCGGGTTCTTGTTAATAGAACTGAAAATATAGTATGTCGATTTATGTATTTTCATTTGTGCTTTTTACATGTTTTTTTTCCCCTTCTTTACATTAATAATATGTGTAACACAGCAATTAATGCTCCCAGCCGCTCTCGATAACCAACCTTTAACCATCGATAATTGCTCTAATCTCCTCAAATAGTTTGCCAGTAATAACAAGATAGTGGCTCTCCAGAGGATTCCGGCTCACTGTGGAATCCAGGGAAACGAGGCGGTCGATCTCCTAGCACTAACATATAATACATACACTAACATATTAAATTTAGAGGAACTATAAACATATTTTTTATCAATCATGTTACATTTACTTCACCTATATTTAAGTGGTGTGACAGTTTCGTATAAATATTCTTTGTTATCCAAACTTCTAGTGTTTGTGAGAGTTACATCTAAATTTTGTAACCGTTATAATATACCAACATCGAATGTTTAGAGAATTTATTTACTATACAGTAAGCCGATTATTGCCATATTGTACAAATCCAGACTTTTATTAAATAACTTTTATAAACTTTATAATATTATTTTATTAAATAACTTTTATATTATTTTATTAAATAATTATTATTTTATTAAATAATATTTATATTATTTTATTAAATAACTTTTATAAACTTTTATTAAATTTGTGAAAAATGCATTTCTTTTTGCTTCAAAGAATCTGAATTTTTTTTAAAAAAAAACCCCAACACATTTTAAAAGTTAATATCAAAATTTCAAATAACAGTGCCTGTTTTATAATTCATTAAAACATATAATAAGAAAATAAGTAAAATGTTGGCTTTGTTTTAGAATAAAATTAATTCTAAAATTATTAATGTTTTTTTTTTCAAGTTATTAAACAGATATTTATTTAATATATTCATTCTTAAAAGATGGTTTTAAATAAATATATTTTTATAATTGCATTTCCTCTTTAAAAAATATGTTCTTAAATGTGTGTATTGATTTGAATCAAAAATTTTAGTTCAAGCATTTTTATGAAAGAGAGCAAATTACTTCATTTTCTAGAATTAAAACATTCCAGAATTGTTCAGTGGAAAAAATATATCAGTGAAATAATTAATTTTAGATTTGATATTGAGTTGTCAAAACAGTTTTCTTAATTTGTATGGTTGTTGCAGAATTATTAATGTCATAATTTGTTAAGATTTCTCTTTCTCATTTATGCTGTTGCTCACTCTTAGTTTTTTAATGCCCTCATTTATTTAGTCAACCTATCTTCGTGGGGACCATACAAGTATTGATGCCAAATTTTTCTATGAAATTCTTTTTTATTCATGATCGTTGTTTTTCTATTATTTACTATTTTTTTCAACAGATTTATTTTTATAGATATACTAGCTGACCCGGCAAACGGTGTTTTGCCATATGAATTTTTTCTAGAGTATAAAAATATATCTTATTTATTGTAAATGTGTGCGTATGTGGTATATGAGTGGAAGAGGCATGAAGCGCTGTGAACGATGACGGAATGTGAAAGTAACAACACACCAAATAATATTTTTTTTTAAATTTATTGCAACTTTTTCTTATAAATTATATATACAACGAATTCTGAAAATATTAGTCAACAATATTAATCTCTTAGTGCAATGGAGTGTACAATATTTTTTGTCATTCCATCTTTAGCTAACACAAATAAACTGGATGGTTTGCCCACTCGAGAGTATGCCACGTATCTGTGCGAAAAACATGGTGTGTTCAAATCTAAGACGCAAACAGACATTGTTTGGCCTTATCATTGCGAATGCCAATCTAATGTGGAACTGAATGCGTTTAAATTGAATTGGCACATCTGTGGGGGCATAATAGGCATAATAGGGATTGGCACATAATAGGGATTCGTGGAAGTAATATACTTTCATCCCGGAATTTGTCATTTAAAATAATGACTTCGATGACGTTGTTCATTAATTTTTTAATGACTAATCGCGTGCCGTTGCACAGCCAAGGTGGGTTCAAATTACGAAGCAAAATAACCGGAGATCCAACTTTGAGTACTAAATTATGCGGTGATATGCCAGGTAAATCCAATGAGTTTAAAAACTCTGTTGGAAAATTTGCAGCTTCAATGGGATCGCAAACTGCATCAACGGATTTGCATGTCACCAAGTTACCTGGCAATAACTGTTGCATCTACAGATTCAATTCGTTGACGTCCACATTTTTTGCTGCTAAAATCACCCTTTCTGCCAGCCACTCATGATGAATGCATTGCGTGTGTACATCGGGAAATATTAGGCTAATGAGAGCATCTTGTGAATCAATGATTGTGCAGAAATCGTCCGGTAATTTAAGCATCCAGTCTCATCCTTAGTAACCTTTCCATCACCGATATCTAACAATTGTTTTGAGAATGTTTCAGCAGATGGATCTTGAAGCATTTGGACGCGCATATTTACTTTTAGTAGAACTTTTTCAACATTACGCCAAAGTGGAGATGATCTCAAGAAAGCATTGATCTCATCAGCGTACATTAAACGCGGAATGACGTGAAGTGTTTGTCTGAAATCACCTGAAAGGAGTAACAGAGTGCCGCCAAATAATTTGTCATTATTTTTTTATATCTTTCAATGTCCTGTTCAACGCCTCAAGCGATTTTTGTGTTCCATAGTGCAATCATCCCAGATGATAATTTTACTGTGTTTTAACACTGTGGCCATAGAAGAAATATTTTTTATGTTGCACACTGCATCTGGGTTGTTTTGAATATTTAGTGGCAGCTTAAATACTGAATGAGCTGTTCTGCCTCCGTCCAATAAAATTGCCGCAATGCCAGATGATGCAACGGCCAACGCGATGCCATTATTTGATCGTATTTCACCGAGAATTAGCGAAGTAATTAATGTTTTGCCAGTTCCACCTGGTGCATCAGGAAAAAAATCCACACTGTCCTGCTGAAACTGCGAGCATAATGCGGTCATAAATGCTCCTTTGTTTCTCATTCATTAGTGGAACATTGCGAGTAACAATCGCTGCCATTTTTATCGTATTGTATTGAAGTTCACGATTCATGTCAGTGTTTAATAAATCAGATGCACTTCGATTTGGCGAAAGCATACCGAAATGACTGAGTGGCAATTTGGCAATAATAATGCAAAGATCCTCAATAACAATCAGTGCTTCATTGTACATAGCATCGCTGAATACTATCGTTAGATCGTTGCAACGTGTGCGATATTGATACCGTATATCATCAGTCATCGAATCTTTGTGATATTCTCATAACGTTTCTATACGGGCCGGGAAACATGTAGCTAATACTATAGCAAATAGTAGACGATTTTGCTTTGCAGTACAGTTCAATGCTGCTTCAGCAAGCATACATTCCCACTGGTTGTCGTCTTCCAGCAAGCCGAGTGCAAAGCATGCATCTTTATACGTTGGATGCTGATTTCCATCGACTTTACATATATCTTGAAATGACAATGAGCCGGTGTAATTAACCAACAACAGTCGAAAATAAAAGCACTCAGTCTGCCTTGGATTGACTGTAAATATTCTCCCCAAGGCGTTTGATTTGAATAAACCGGGACATGCATCAACCGGTGTGCCTTGCTTGTGGGGTGTCCATTTTTTTGAACCCATGTGAAATAGGGTGGTACTTCTGAGTAGAGTAATGTCCGTGCAAAGACGCCAAAAGCATCCGTACGATTACCCAATTCAAAAAATTTGGCGAGTGTAGTTTTTGGTGGATTTATAGCTCGGTCAATCGCTGTCTCGTTCGTGAAATATACGCTCTGACCGTTTTTAAGATGGACGGCTAAATGAATAACGGTTGGATCCCGTTCATTAATTGGGAAACCAAAGATACGCCAAACAGCTTCATTGGAGCTGATGTACCGGCCTATTTGGTACAGCGTTATTTCGTCGTTGTTATTCACTGGAAGAGCAGTCACATTGGTATTTTCAACTCGAAATACTGCTATATCATTGCCTTTATTCACATACTTGCAAATATATTTGATGCTCTTCTTTTAAGGGCATGCATAAGTATTAGAGTTTAATATGACTTGTTGCAACGTGCGTGAATATTATTTTTGATTTATTATGTTTCTATGTCTAGTTTGGATCCGAATACGATTAAATAAAATATACGTTAAAGCTGTCCAAAAAATGAAAAAAAATTAGATACAAACCATTCCCGAATCCTTCTGAAGTTACACAGAAAATTTCATTTAAATCGGTCCATCCGTTTAGGAGGAGTTCAGTGACATACACACGAACAGACGAAATATATATATAAAGATTATTAGTGAAAAGATAGTGTTATTGAAAAAAAATAGCCCAAATCAATCAAGAATAATTTAGGATTTTATTAATTAATAGAGGACCATACAAGTATTGATGCCAAATTTTTCTATGAAATTCTTTTTTATTCATGATCGTTGTTTTTCTATTATTTACTATTTTTTTCAACAGATTTATTTTTATAGATATATTATTAGTGAAAAGATAGTGTTATTGAAAAAAATAGCCCAAATCAATCAAGAATAATTGAACATTTAATTAGTATGTTTTTATTAGTTTGAACAAAAACTATTAAGGACAGATTATGACATAAATACAATCACATTATAATCGAAAAATCAACTTGACTTGAATTTCAAACAAAAAAAATAGAAGTATATTAATCAAATTGTTAGGTCAATCAGATTATTTTCAGTTCTAAATTTTTTTTTTTTTTTTTTTGTCATTTTATCCTTTTTCTAGGATATTTTTTAATTCTAGGTTGTACTGATCACAACCTCTTAATTTCTGTTTGAAATGTTTCTTTTTTTTTTAATTTTATAATATTTTCTAAGAATGAGTTATCTCTTTCTAGGTTGTGCTGATCCATGGGAGACAAAAGTGTTGAAAGTAGGTTGTGGTGGTCATTTCCGCATCCCCATCACAAACAATATTCAATGGGAAAATCTTCCTAACTATTTCTCAAAAGAGTCAAAAATATTCATTGCTGATAATTCAAGCGACATAGAACATTGGGAGGAATCACCAGAATTAATTAATTATGATGCTAGCCCAAAGGAACACTCAGATGGAATGGCAAAACAATACTTAGCAATGAATGAACACAGTGAATTGATTCAGACAGATAAATCAAGTGAATTGGAAGCATTTGAAGAGATAAATCTGCCTTGTTACCTGTACTCAAGTGTTATGTTTCCAAGAGAAAATATTGTTTTGTATGTTGGTGGTGAAACACATGGAGTAGACATTAGAATAGTAAAGTTAGCTTGTGATTATGGCGGAAAAAAGGTTAAAATACCTTTGGAAAATAGCATGGATAGTTTAAACTCTTCATTTGCCATGGCGATAATACTGTATGAAATAAAGCGTCAGCTTTCTGAAAAACTGTAATAAAGCAAGATTTTAACTATTCCTTGTTCATTAGTTATTTTTTTGTATTCTAAGTTGGATGGGTTGTAGATATGAGATCCCGAGCTCGCCGCAGGCTCGTTAACTGAAATCAATTTTCATACTTAGACTCATGATAAAATTTTTATAAACTTCTTTACTACTTTTAAACAAAAATTTGGTACAGTTATTAAATCTAAGAAATTTATTAATTGATTGTGATAAAATTGTTTTAATAACTAATTTCCTCTTGTTGGCAGCAAAGGCCTAATAGCGACATCAAAAATTTTTGCCTTAATCCAAATGGGGAAAAAAAATTTATCACTAGTACTTATTAAGTTTCTTTTTTTCTTTTTACTTTCAAAAATGTCACTCAGAATATTAACATTTATGTCTGGTAACATGTAACCTCGCTCTCTCTCTCTCTTTTTGTTTGTTATTACTTTTGATCGACATCTATTATTAGAGCGCAAGCTTATAAAATAGAGATTATGTGATAGAAAAATAAATTTTCTACTACAAGGAATAAATGTCAAAATTTAAATCAAAAAAGCTGGAAAAAAATCATGAAAAAGCACTTAAATTTACAATAATTTTCATACAAATAGAAATTTCCAAAAAACTCTCATTAAAATTATAATACAGCATACCTCAAATTTCAACTCTGTGGTTTCATTTCAAGAGCACTAGATTAGCCGACACGATTATTTTTACTACAAGTTTAACAGTTCTCAAAGTAATTATCGAATTATAACTTTTATTATTCCACCAAACTCCTTTTATTCCACCAAACTTCCATTTTATTTTACTTCTCATCTTCTTAATTTCAAGATTCTAAGTCGTATAGATTAGGAGTAGCTAAGCGAAATGTAATGTAAAACAAACAAAAGTTAAAAAATTTGTAAAAAAAGCACTTAAAATCACAATAGCTTTCGAACAAATTAGAATTTTGACGGAAAAAAAAACTCACTGTTAAATTCAGAAACAAATGTTGCCCTTTCAGCATGCCAAATTTCAACTTCTTATTTACATATTCCTGTGGTCTGTAGAGCAATCCGTGTGGTATTTTCCTCCCGCAACAAGTTTAACAGTTAGAAATTATCGCGTTTTATAATTTGCGTTTAGTTCACAAATAGAAGTAGCTCTTTCAGCATGTCAAATACAGTCAAACCCCGCTATAGTGAACCTTCAAGGGACCGAAATTATGGTTCACTATAACCGGGAGTTCACTATATCCGTTCCTCAGACAATTTAACTAATGGTTCCAAACTCCTCCTTTTATTATACATTATTTAAATAAATGACTGAAAAATAATAGATATGTAGTAACAAAATATGTGTTAACTTTTATTTTTATTGCAAATATTGGCTTGATTACATCCATTTTTCAGTTTATGTCCATCTTATCTTAAATGAAGAACGTTTTACATTTACTGCTCGTCATAGTTTAATTTGTGACACTTATTTGCAGGATTCCTTAACTGAACTGAGAGTGTAAACGAGTTGAAATTCGTGCCTTATCTTCACAGATTAGTGTCCACCCCTTTGACCATTAATTAATAACTACGCATTCCAATGCTCTCTCTCTGATAGGAAAGAAATATTGACCCCTTACAGTTGCAACATCTGCTGGTGTTGGCCTTTGTTTAAGGATGGGAAAGTGAGATAAAAGAAGCAAACAAGAAAAATGCTTATTGCTATCTTCCCTGCTATATATGGCTTTAAAAATCGGTTTATGTATTTATTTTGAAGTAGAAATTTCAAAATTATTATAAAAAAATTAGTCGAAGACAGAAAAAAGTTCATTATATCCGATTTCCTCTCTTCCTTTGATTCACTATATCCACAAAAAATAACATTATACATGTACAGCAAGGCACGGGAGCGAACTTTTCGTTCACTATATCCGGGAGTTCACTATAGCGGGGTTCAACTGTATTTCTAATTGCATTTCAGCGGGATTACTGATCGACCAAATGTGGTATTTTTTACTGCAAGTTTAATGGTTAATAATTCTCGAATGTTAAATTTTCTAATCCATCATAATTCCTGAAGTTTAGCAGTTTCTAAGTCTTATAATTTCTGAGCTGCGAAACAAAATTTAGCGTTAAGTTGAAGGATCAAAACAGTGCAGTCCTTGCGACTTTTTAATATCGAGAGGTATAACATGTTGTTCCTTATAATCTAACAATGTGAAAATGATTCTTAAGTAAAGTGAAATAATTTGTTATAATAATTTTAAGCAATCATCATAAGATCTTATAACTGTGTCAAATTTAAGAAAAAGTGTGAATGACAGAATTTAATATATTAACACATCTTTTTTCTACCAGAGGTTTTTTATTTACGATCTTCATTTAATTTTTTTATCATTTTTTCCCTCTTGGCAAAATGGGTCTTGTTTTCGGTTTGACGGCGTGCGCAACTTATTTGGACGTCATCTCATTTTTCAATTGTGTTTAAGACTAATAGTGAACAGTGCGCATGCATTGCTATGGTGACCACCACTGTTTAATAATTCTTTTAGAATTCTCTTTTCCACTTTTAAACTTTGTTATGCGTTAAGTTGGTGAGCTTATTTTTGAGATATGGGACCAGGGAGATCCCATAAATACTTCTTGAGTTATGAATAAAAGAGATTTTCATCACTTGAACGATTTTATTGTTTTAATTAAGAATCATAAACAGTGGCGTAGCTAGGTAACCAAGGGCCCTGGGGCAAATTAAAAAATGGGGCCCCACTGCTATGTAAACTGATTAGGCTTTATCAAATAAAAATATGAAATATACGAATACTTTAAAAATGCTAAGCTACTTAAGCTCTTTTTTGTGCACTGCAGTGCAGGTAATAAAAATATTAAACAGTAACAACATAAATTACAATTAATACTTGGTGTAGGTTTGGCTAATAAAACGAAATCGAGAAGATTCAAGGGTTTATTATATGAAGGTCGGGCCTACCAACTGACTAAATAACAATTATATTTAAAAAAATTTCCTAGCTTTAGTTTTCGCAAAAGTATCAATGACTTCGTTTAAAACCAGGCTTGATGCGGTTTTGTTTTCAATTGCTATTAGCGATAAATGTCGGAGTCGAGTTTGGCCCATATTATTTCTTAAATAATTTTTCATTATTTTTAATTTGCTAAATGACCTTTCATCTGCTGCAGAAGTGACAGGAATTGTAAAGAATAATAACATTGCTGTAAATACTTCCGTTAGGTCGCATTCTAGCCCTCAATATTTGTTCATTATTTCCTTACATAATTGGTGAACAGTCCATGCTTGAGTTAGTTGAGGTAAAACTGGATGGTAAATATTAATAAATTGAAGTGAAAAACTAGGGCCTATTATATCTGAATATTTTCTTTGAAATTCGTCACATTTTTGTAATAAAGTTGCTTCATCAACATGTAATAAAAATGCTGGTGTTAGAAAATCGAATATATGACAGACTGCACTCATACCAATAAAACGTGTACCTAATTGAGATATTACTGTGTCTGGTACATTATTGAAAATCTCAATTTTAAATATTTTTTCTCGGTTTGGAAATCGGTGATCAGCAGCTACTTCATCAAAATGTTTTTTAACTTTTCTTTGTCTTTTTTCTTGAAAATGGGTATCAATACCATATTTTCTAGCAGTTTCACTTGCTTAAAACTTGAATAATTCGAAATCATATCTATAAATTTTGTAACTTTGCTAAAACTTTACTCGCCTCGCCCAAATTGATGTCGCATTTTTGCAAAGTTTTGGATGCATAATTGATGTCGTTCAATACACTGTGCATGAATTCGCAAAGCAACGCGAACTCGAAATTTAGCATTTTTGTTTTAATACTCTCTGCTTCACTACGCTCATCTATTTCTGATAAGGCTTTGATAATATCAAAATAACGAAGTTTTATTGCAGATATCGTATTGACCCTACTGGACCATCTAGTCGGATTTAGTTTTTTTAGAGTGGTGTCCGATTCGTCAGTGAATTTTGACAGTAGATCCCAACGTTTGATGCTGCTTCCGAAAAAGTTATACAAATCTTGCAACGTTACGAAAAAAATCTGTGTTTCCACACAACTGCTAACGCCATCATTTATCACCAAATTTAAATTATGAGTGGCACAATGTACGTACTCTGCGTTAGGCTGGATATCCTTAATATGTTTTTGTACACCATTATACACACCACTCATCACACTGGCTCCATCAAAGCCTTGCCCCACACATTTTTTTAAATCAATATTTTTGTCGATAAATAATGTTGTTACTTGGTTGACTAAATCTACTGCGCCATGTTTGATGGCTGCATAAAAGCCTAGAAACACTTCTTTTTCTATATCAATTGGCTGTCCATTTTCCGATCTGGTTATTACTGCATACCTCACAACAATGCTTAGCTGATCTACCTTCGATATGTCCTGTGTCGTATCCATTATGATGGCAAAAAACGGTGACGATCTAATTTGTTCTAGTAGATGGGTTTACAATACAATATTACAATATTAGATTGTTCTCGAGTAGGTAGGTACTCACTGTTCACTGACGACGTTAAAAGTAAAATAAAAGGAAAGAGAAACACAATGATACGCTACAAGTATCGTTGGGGAATCCCCGAAAAAAAATTATCACCGTTAGTGTCACCAAACTTAACGGTGGAGACTGTAATGGTTGGCAACTGTTTGGTGACCTTTTAAGGCGAACTTGACGCATTTTGTCATCCCGTCGGAGGGATGCGAGAGAGAGTATGTTTGATATAATCGGGAGAGGGTCTCCCTTGGTATTCTAAAAGCTGGAAACTCTTACTGGAAAACAATGCCTATTTCTTTTGTTTTTAAATAAAGTTAAGTTTTATTGTTTTAAAAATCTGGTCTGCTTATTTATTGGAAAGGAAAGGCATTACAGAGACCATGAACGATCTCCTGCCTGCGAACCTGAATTAATGTACCTACTGCAGGTGACTTGCATTTTTTCACGATATTTCGCGTTAAACAATGAGCTGTAGTCTAAATCTATAGATTTGATACGATTTATTGATTTAACGGACATCAATATGAGTGGTAAAATCAAATAAAATTGAACCACTATATTGACCAGTACAAAAAAGTTTATTGACATTAGCTTACTTACTCCTGATACAGCATTAATTTTTTAACCGTTCTCGAAAAAAAAATCTTAGCTCGAATTCACAATAAAACGCACATCGATGAATAATAAAACACACATATCACTCACTATCCGTCAAATTGACAACACTGCCAACCTACAGAAAGAATTTAGGGGAATTCCCTAGGCGTAACTTTTGAATTTCTCTCAACGGAGTTGTCATGATTAAAGTGGGGTTGCAACCTGCCATATTTATTTTGAAAATGGGAGAAATTTCCAAAAGTTCAGTTCGATCGAGATTTCTGGTAAGGATACGAGGGCCCCCTGAGCTTGAGGGCCCTGGGGCACTGCCCCGCCTAGCCCCTTGGTAGCTACGCCACTGATCATAAATTCTATACCTACAGTTCAAACTGGATCGTGTTCAATACTAATTCAGGTGAATATCACAAATAAAGACGGTCCCAAACTGATTGATACGGTCCCAAAGGTTAGAGATGAAGCAAGAAGAAACGATACCAAGGCCTAAACTTACCGAGGCTAATAAAGCCAAGGAACGTAAATGGAAATACCATAAGCTTTATACACATACGTAAAAACGAAAGGATTTCCGTTCGCAAACGCAAGCATGAAGCCCGTTCCTCACAAAAGTACCAAAGTGGTTGACAGAATTGAACCCAACCGACCGAACCCCTTTCATGCAAATATGAAAACTGGGTGTTGGTCATCAGTTAGGGATAAAAGGATTTCTCTGTCAACGTACCCAATGACTTGCACAAGACCGTAAACTGTCTTCCACGAAAAAATAAATGATTCATTCACTATTCATGTAAAATAGAAAAAAAGCCTAGCTTTCAAATCCCATCATTTTATGTATGAACTTGTGAATCCGAAACGGATGTATGATGCAGCTTGCAATCTCCTTCAAACACCATTGTACCAATCCGAAAATGTTAATGATGATCTCCATTAGCTGTTCAATCATCAAAAGAATTTACATAGAATGCGTCTGAGCTGCATTCAAATATGTCTGCGAAATTATGTACCGAGCAGTTCAGGATTAACATTTAAAGATGTCCAAGCAAGATGAAAACACAATAAAGCTGTTTTACCAAAAAAAATTAGACAACTACCATTTTGCTTACGGGGAACCTCTAAACACCTTGCGGAGATCACATTTTTTTTGTTTAGATTTTTAGTTTTATTTTAACTATCAAAGTTTAGTTTAGTAAAGTTATGTCTTCGGATCATCCTCAGGGATGTTTCCCAGACCGTCGCTAATAGCCCATTGTGCAGCACTAGTGCGACGTAAATGAACTACTCTTCGCCGCTTTGCTCCAACTGCTTTTAATTTCGCGTTACTACAAATTAGGAACTACAAACTACGAAAATAATTCAGACCTTGCCCTCTTTCTAAGAAGTAGATGATTTGTTTTAGTCATTAAAATTCTCAATGAATTCTCATTTATTTCTGATTCTCATTTATTCCTGATTCTCATATTCACTCTCCTTCATTCTTTATTATTCTCATTTTATTTATGCATGAGGGAGAACTTTTTTTTTATTTTAAAAAAAAAAAATTTTTGCAATATAAATATTTTGTTTTAAATTCTTATTATTTTTCACATTTTCTTTACAAAACGCTTACTATTTCACATAATATCTGAAAATTTCGTACAATATATATNNNNAAAAGATTTTATATATATATATATAGAACAAAAATTTTCATTTTGCTCTCATTCGCTAAACATTTTCAAAATAATTAATAGTTTTTCGATAGTTAATATATTCATAATTGTTGACGGAATTTATTCATTATGTCTCGGTGTTTCGCAAAGAGGAGCTCAATCTTTTAGGATTCCACAGTAGAAAAAAATTGAAAACCGCTGCTGTAGTCCGCCTATCCTGGCTACGGCCTTGTCCCCGCCCCCATTTTACTTTAATTCTACTGAGCAGGGTTCGTGATTTTTTTTAAAAGAATTAAAAATAATCGGATTTTTTTAAAATTTAAATCAGATTTTTTAAATTTTTATTTGAATACACTATAAAAACTTTAATTTATGATTAAAAACACTTTATAAATGCTTAATCAAAATTAAATTAATATTAAAACTATATTATAACAATATTTTAGAAGCTTTCACTTACTAAAATAATTTTTTATTACAATACATAGCTTTGAATGCATATCAACCATTTTGAAACAAACACATGATTGAAATTTAGACTAAATGAAATAGAGAAATTAAAGAATACTTAAAACAAGGTTTCAATTAACAAACCATAATTTTAAATTAAAATTGCGATTTCTTTTTTTCCCCCTCTTGATTTTTAAAATGACAAAATCAATGTTCAGATTGTGTTTTAGTCATTCATCAAAAAAAATAAAAAAATATTTAATCTATATATTTTTATATTAAAATATTCATTTTTAATAATCCTATATCAAAATAGATAAGTTAAGCTAAAAATTTCTTTAAAAAATCTATGCACTCATTGGAATTATTTTTTCCACAAAATTTCTTTATAGAAAATTTGATGATGTAAAAGATACTGTAAACATATCATGAGAAAAAAAATACCAGTTAATAACCCTAATGCTTCAAATAGAGTTTGAAAGAGTTAGAAAGAGAAGAATGACACCATATCAGGAAAAAAATATCTGAATTCATCAGCCTTTTTTCTTCTATTTTTTGCATATTAGGATAATTTCTTTTTACTATAACCTCAAGCTTTAGAAATTTACATTCACCAATAAAATATAATGCAGATTTTAATTTTTCAATCAAAAGGTAGAATTTTAATTAACATTATTTGCATTTTTTTTAAAAAAAAATTCGTGTACTTTTTTCATGTAGTGCTCATTTAATTACTTTCTACAGCTATGCAAGTTTATATTAAGACAGCACTAAATGCTTACTTTAATCTGTACTTTCAATCTCAAGAATCAAAAAAGATTTTAAAAAATGTAATTTCAAATGTGTGGGAAACACCAAGAAAGAAAGTAATTTCGTTAACTGAAATTAATTAATGCAGCAATTTATTTAAAATAAATTTTAAAACGAAGAAAAGAAATAATAAAAGTATCAATTATTTAAAAGACTGCTTTTTAACTTTTAAAATCAATATATATATATAAAAAAATCAGTTGATTTAAATCAATGATTTTTAAAAAAAAATCATTTGGTTTAAATCATGATTTAAATCGTGATTTAAATCAAGCTGATTTAAATCAACAAACCCTGCTACTAAGCACATTGATTTTTCATTTATTGAGAATACAAAGTATTTTTTTTTAATCAAAAATATAATTTTTTTTTACATAGTTTACTGTTTATTTATCGATGCATTACTTTTACACAGAAATGCTCGAAGTTTTTAAATTATTACAATGAAAAAACTCAGGAGTTTCAAACCAGATATTTTTTCTTATCCATAAAAATGTATCGTTCAAAAATGAGTTGTAAGAGAACACTAATCAAATGCAAAATTTGAAAAACTTATAAATCTCAGAGGTTTCTTAAAATACCATGAGCTGGGTTTCAAGTCGTGTTATTTTGCCTTTTACCCCACTCTGTCAAAAAAATTTATCGCTCGCTGCGGCCCTTCTTTGAAAATGTTAGCAAAATTATCATTTCTCCATAATTTTGCAGTTTTTAATGGTTATTTACATTCGTAAATAGTTATTTTTTATTACTCCATTAGTTATTTACGTTTTTTTTCTTTACTCAGTACGATGACCGGGTATAATAATAATAAGAAAAAGAAAAGAAAAACACGACTGGTGTGATATATGATGATCTACCTTGAAAAACAATCCCTCTTATTTGGGTAAAGTAACGGAATTTTCTAAACATGGGATCTACTTTATCCACTTTCACAATTATTTATTTTTTACTTAAAAACAGATTTCCTGACATTGCTTGGAACACAAACAATGAGTTCTCAAATTCGCTTCTATTACCATTAAGCATCCGGAATAACAACATACTACATTTTATCCCATGGTCTCTATTTCGAACAGACGGTGAAGGGACTAGTGTTTTCAAGCAAGCAGAGTATGTCATTTTTGTGGATATGGCTTGTTATGCTCGGTAAGTAATACTACAAAATGAAATTCAAAATCTAAACATTAATTTTTATGTTAATACTTTGCCGACCGATCGGGGAGATCGCACTTTTAGCTGTAAAAAAATGGCGCGGTGGCTAGCTTATACTTAATTCTTTAATTGGGTGTAATTCCCTCAGCCGGCAGTGTTAAGTTTAAATATTTACTTACGGAATGAAAAACATTAAAAATTTAGTTGAGAAATTTAGGATATTTTTTCACACCATCTTGGATTTTAGTTTAGATTATTTATTCCCAACTTCTCGATGCTTTTTGTGTTGAAAACAAACTTTTGATGGTAGAGTATTATTAAATCGGCAGCACTATAAAAGAAATGAAGACTTAACTTCAATATATAACCGTCGTTGAACAGCCGATCCAATTTTATGTTTGTGACTACCAGTGTTCCACTCCCTAACCTTATAATTTTGAACCCAATCCCAGAAGACAAGGGAACTCCAGGATGAAGTATTGAGAATAATTTGCCTTTGCGAAGGACTTTTTGATGGGGCTAACCCGCATTTGCATTACATGGAAAGAAAAACCACGAAAACCTCGCACCCTGACGGGGACTCTAACTATATGAAGTCTCTACTACTGAGTATATTTTACATCAGCATTGTGGTCGATGCGAGCCGGGAGCGGAATTCATATCGACCAGCCATCTCTGGGATTCGAACCCCGCATATCTCATTTGGAGGCGAGTGCTCTATCTCCTGAGCCACCACGGCTCTACTTCATTAAATTTGAGGAACAGCACTTGATAACAACCGGAACTTTTACGTATTTTTCTTAAACTAGGAGCATCTGCTTCCTGCTCGTTATTGTTTACCTAATTGCTCCGAGATCTGAACTCGCCACGCTTTCTTTTTATATTTCCTTTTCAGAGCTTTCGTCATTAATTAATTTTGCGTATATTCAAAAGTACTATTTTTTTTTTTAATTTTAAAATTATATCATAAAAATTTATTTTACAATATGTTAATACCAATTACCAATATATGAATTACCAATATATAACAATGAATAAATAAAGAAAATATCACTAATATTATAATTTTGTTTTATAGTCAATAATATAATCTCTATATATATTTCTCTTACACGGCGATAAAAAAAAAGCCTCATTACAACTCCCCGAATGGCAACGCTTGAAAATTGACCAATCATTGCGACTAAGAATGTCACATGGTGAGGTGGCTCAACATATAGCACTTTTAAAAACGGAAACTGAAATAACCAGAGTGTAAAATATTATGTGCTTATGCGCATCGTATTTTGTGTTAAATAATTTATTTATTATATATCAGTTTATAGATGGTAACGAGAAGAGTTTTGTGGTTGCTATGGTGACTATTTAGAATGTAAATTTTTCTTTTTTTTTTGAGTGAGTGTGATATTATTTTTTTGGAACTGCGATGCTGTAATTTTATTGTTTAGTTAATAAATCTTCCTTTTGTATTAAACGTGATAGTAGTTTCCTTAATTATTTGATTCGAAGTCCTTTGAGTTTTATTTGAGGTCAGTTTATTTTGTATTTTTTGACAAGAGAGAGCATTCTCACCAAATGTGATTTCTTCCGAAATTCAATGTTTTGTTTATGCAGGTTTTTCCATTGCAATTCACTTATTTCAATTTTTAATAGACTTAATTGTAGCCAAAATTTTAACCTTTTTAAAGAGATATCAGTTTTAGAAATTTTATACTATAGCACATTTCTAATAGGTTTAACGAATTACATGTCATTTATTTGAATTCAAATTTATTTTAATGACTTAGTATTTACTAAAAAGCTGTAATTTTTTTTTAAAAAAAAAGTTGTTATATGGTTTTAAATGATTGTTTTGAATTTTTAGAATTTTGTGAATTTGCAATGTATCTAAGTTAGAAGCGAGCGAAGCGAGCTTGGTTTGCGAAGCAAACCATATAAGATTGCGTAGCAATTTTCCGGGGTTGGCGAGCGTCAGCGAGCAGGGGGCGCAGCCCACTAGTTTTAAAAAAAAATGTAAGTTGAAATAATTAACTTTTGTTTTTAAAGTACTTAATTTAAAGTACGGATTTATTCATATATTAAACTTGGTGCTCCTCGCCCACCTTGATATCGCTCACCATCACTGGAAATTGATTACACAGTCGATTTACGATAGTTTCTCAACTTGATTTTGTTTAATACACTAGATTTGTATACTTTTAAATTTTGAGTTACCTATTTAAGGTCCTCCTGCTTGCTACCAGTCATTGTAACTAATTGCGTAATTCTTTATAAATCGAATCGAAATCTGGGATGCGACTTAACAATTCAATTGATTTATAACAAATTCGAAATTTAAACAATGTAAAACGTATTGGTCCCGCAGTGGACTGATCGTTAAGACACGGTTCCCAGCAGATTACCGAAGTCAAGCATCACTGGCTACGGTCAGTGTGCGGGTGGGTGACCACTTGGATCAGTCTGCGTAGGGACCGAGGGTGTGCGATATTGGTCCTCGCTAAACTGTGCTACCGTAAAGTGCTCGATTTCGCGCGCAGGTCGTCGGGCTACCGAAGCGGGGGTGCCATCCCCTCCGCAGAGGATCAAAATTGTGATGGCATGTCTTTGGATCATCCTCCAGGATGTTTCCCAGACCGTCGCCAATAGCCCATTGTGCAGCTCTAGTGCGACGCAAATTAACAACACACAAACACACACACAAACGTATTGATGATCATCAGATGTAAGACTAAAAATTGTACGTCTAAAAAATCATTTATTAATCACGACTGAAAAATAAACTAAATGAAATATTGAACTAAAACATCTTTAGTTAGTATACGAGGCTCTCGGTCCTCTGTGACTTATCCACTCATAACAGGATATCCCTGCATTGGGTACCTGGACATATGGGTATCGGTGGAAATGGAAATGAGCTTGCTGATGAAGCGGCACGGGCTGTGGCCCGCTGCTGACGGTCAGAGACAAGCTAAATCGTGACTGTCCTAGTGTACGTCAAAAAGAGCTTTTAAAGCTTAATAGAAACAGTTTAAGGAAGATCATTGGTCTTCTTACTGGACACTGCATCCTCAGGAGACTCTCTGTGATTGTGAGGTCTATTCTGCTCAAAGATTTGAGCATTTAGGGCAGCATTGCGTCAATGCCTGGGAACTGCAAGTTGTTCCTGTAAGGTGTCTGCTGAATTTTATTTCAGCTGTAGGGCGTTCATGCTAATCATGATTTAGGGTTTGGGTACAATAGACCTCTGGTCGATGTGCCTTGCTCGTCCGAGCTGCCCAACCTCTAAGTCTCTGCTCACCAATGCCTGAACTTGCTTCTCATTCAAAATCGTTCCTTTTTTTTATAATGTGTACAGATTTCAAAGATATTAACAAAAAATTAAAACACGATAATTTTGTTTATAAAATTGTATCATTTTTTCTAAGCACATTTTGATATGTAAATTGTAATGTGTATATATTATGTATTTTTTTTTATTTTGTATTCCGGCTTTTTAAAACGCGTTAAAATTTTTTTTAATATCCTTAAAATTATATTTTCTTCCTTGTTTTTTGTATTTTCAACTTATTTTATGGGTTCTTTGTACTTGTAGCCATATGCGCAGTAACTAAAATTTATTATTTTTTCTTAATTTTCATCGTTAATCTCTTTTCTTTTATTATTTTTTGTCCCTTTATTATGTTTAGTGCTACTACAGCGCCAAGCTGCTAATGTTACGTCTGGAAGAATATTTGAATAAAATATAAATCAAAATATATTTTTACCTTACATGAAACTGATAAATATATTATAACAGGAATAATCCGAAAAAAACGGCAACAGAAAATCATGAAGAAAAAAAAATCAAACAGCTTATAAAATTTCACGAAAGAAAAAATAGTTACAAAATTGGAAATTGATGTGGACAAGTAGAAGCATTAACAATAGTAGCGTCATTAGGGGGACATAACCATGTTGTCAGTGTTTCGCGGTATTTTACAGCCAACTGCAGAAACTGCTCCCGCACTGACAACGTGGCAATGCCTATCCTGATGACGCAGCTATGTCTGTCAATGCTTCCACTTTTGTACTTATTCCTTTTGTGGTTATTTTCTTTCGTGAAATTTTAAGATCTTTGGTTTTTTCACTATTTCCTGTAGCTGATTTTCTCGGATAATTCCTGTTATAATATACTTATCGATTTCATGTTCAGTAATATATATAATAAATGAGTAGTAATTTTATTCGCCAATGATACAAAACAATAGCCTCATATTGTTATAATAATTCATATTTTTTTATTATTTTTATTTAAACGACTTAAAACTCCTCATGCACCACAAAGTATAGCATGAGACTTACAGTTGTAAGTAGAAAACAAAAAGAAGAAAAATTTACATTAAAAACAAAATTCCGCAAGGATTTTGGATTCATATTGGAAATCGCGGAGGACTTTTCTTGGAACTAAATCGCACATGCAACAGTGGAAAACCTCCCACGGTTTACCTGATGATAAGGGAGACTTTAACCCATGATCCGACTACCACTGAAGATATTTTATACCAGTACTGTGGTCGTTGCGACTCAGGTTCAGAATTTGTGTTGTTACTTATCTCCAAAGGTCTGACGGCGTCAGACTAGATCCATAATTCCGTTGACAAGTAAAAAGTCAGAAACAAGGAGAGGAGAAGTGTATATTTCTTTCCGACGAAGTTCCAAGCAGCTTAAAATATGATCAGCTGAAGCCTGATGTTGGTGGCATTTTGGGAAAAGAGGGTAGGATTTTATACCCTGAGAAAAAGTAAGACATTTTAGCTGTTCACTGGCAAGGTGTGAAAGGCAGGTATTGGTTTTCTGTCGGAAGGAAGTATCAACGACTGTCCCGGTTTACTAGCCCTATACCAATCATGATTGGGAGGCACCGGCCAAATCCTCCTATCTAAGTTTTTCATCTGAGAAAAAAGTTCTAGGAAGGGAAGTTCATCAGATGCAAAAGTTTGCAGGCTGCAATCCTCCTTTGCTAGACAGTTTGTCTTCTTGTTATTAAACAGATCCACATGGGATGGGATCCAGTGGAAATAAATTTAATGTTGAAGTGAGATGCACTTCAAATTCAGAATTCGTAACTCTCAGCTATGGCTGGAATTCGAACCCAGATCACCTCATTTTATTTAATCACCGTCGTTGAACAGTCGACCCAATTTAGGGTTTACATCTACTAATTTTCAACTCCATAGTCTTGTATTTTTTAATTTTGAACCCAATCCAGAAAACAAGGGAACTCCGGAATCAAGTATTGGGAGAAATTTGCCTTCGTGGAGGACTTTTTGATGGAATTAACCCGCATTTGCGTTACACGAAGAGGAAAACCTCCCACGGTTAGCCTAACGGCCAAAGGACTCTAACCCATGATCCGTCAACCACTGAGGTTATTTTACGTCGGGTGCGGAATTCGAATCGACCAGCTATCGTCGGGATCGAACCCGGGTCACCTCATTGAGGGAGGAGCGCTTTATCCCCTGAGCCACCACTGCTCTAGATCACCTCATTGGAAGGAGAGTGCTCTTTCCCGTTTTATATTTCAAAACACTTTTGTTTCTTCCCATTTACGTCTGGCGTAAATGGGCGCCTATTTCTGAGCGCTTGAAACATGTCGACTGTCTTTTCGTATTTATTTATTTTTGAAGCGAATGAAGTCACTTTAATCAGTATTAACAGTTAAAAACTTACTTACTTTAATAAAATGTTTTTTTTTCAGGTAGAAATCACAAAAGTTTATGTTATTTTTTTTATTTTTAGGATTTATGGCAGGTGAAGGAAATTATCAAACTTTCAGTTCTTCTTCGTTTCAGAACTTTGTTAAAGCTTATTTAAAAACCTCATATTTTGATGCAGAAACTCGTTCTGCAAAGGAAGTTAAAATTAACAAAAGGAGTATTTCAAACCCAGAAAATAATTTAACTCTAAAAGAAGAAGATACAAGCTTGAAAATAACGCGAAAAATACAAAATTCAAAAATCCTGCCAACAGCGCAATCAACTTTGAAAATAACTAGCAAATCAACAACAAAGAAAATCATTCCACCAAGTTCTAGAGATATAAATATTGACTCAGGCTCAAAACAATTAATCAAAAGATCAATAGCTGAACTAAACATTACCTCCAAGACAAAATCTACCTTAGATGACACCATTCAAGAATCTACAACAAAGCAGTCAACTACAGAAACCACAATTGAGGATACTACTCAAGAATCAGAAACAGAGCAGACAACCACAGACACTACGCTTGAGGACACTACTCAAGAATCCACAACAGAACAGTCAACTACACTTGAAGACTCTACTCAAGAATTCACAACAGTGCAGACAACCACAGAATCTACATTTGAGGACACTACTCAAAAGTCAGCAACATCTATGAAACCTAAACCTGATAAAACTAAGAAAAATGTCAATGCAATAAAAATATCGACCCCTGCATCAACAACTATAGACAATGCTAAAAAATTCCTATCAGAACAAGTACAACTTAAATCGACAACAGCAAAAATTACTAAAAAGCGAACTATCGCCGCAAGTTTGACAAAACTCAGCAGTACAAAGCCATCTTTAAAAAAGAAAAAGGTGCATCTGAAGCTTCTACAATCAGCAGAATCTTCAACAAAAAAGTCATTAACTGATACGCCATTTGTATCGTCATCTTTGGAGACACATAAGACTATAGGAGACAATGATACTAGTTTAGCAACAACAAAAGAATGGCAGAAATATTTCACGCAACCACAAAATAAACCCAGTAAATCTAGTTCCCCTGCATATTCTCCAACGGAAACATCTCTGGTAAAAAAGGATGAAATTACCAACAATTCCTCAACTTCTTCTCAAGTTTCAATAGACTCCAGCACAGAAACTCCAAAAAAGTCTAAAAACGATATTTCCCAAGACTATAACCATCCTAACGACACCACCAGCGAAACTCCTTGCAATGTAACATCTATCGATATCAATATAGATGTCGATATCAAGATAGGCTCCCAAACAACATCTATTGTATATTTACTCTCAAATGTGACTGCATCTGATAGCTTTTCAAATGCATCTGATAGTTTCCAGAATGTATCCGATAGTTTTTCGACAGCATTACCATCGATTGAAAATTTAAAGAGTAGAAAAGCAGTTGCCGCTATTCTATTGATTGCACTGATATTGATATCTGCAGCTTGTGCACTTTTGTTGTTGATATCTCCTTCGAAAAACGATTGGAGGAAAGGTGACAGAGTGGAACTCATTTCGCCTAGAGGTCGTTCAGCATATAGGTACTATGATACTTCATTGTACACAGGTTTATAATAGGTCTAGGCAAGGCAACAGTCATGGGAGAGGCAATCGGTCAGCAATTCGGACATTCACTAAAGCGACTATGATTGTTGACATTCACCGGTGAAAGTCTACATTCTCTTGATTTCCATTATTTATGGTAAAATGTATATATTAAATAACATGTAATCGAAACATGAAACTGATGAGACAATTATGAAATTTTTCTATAAAAAAACAAACTTTTTTCTTCAAAAGAGTTAGATTAAAACCATTTCATTATTGTTAGAGGAACTGGATGAAAAAAAAATGTACTTGCCATTTTTTAAACCTTAATAAATACTTTGAAATACTTCTTAAAAATGATACTCGACATTTATATCTTCACTAGAAGGAAGCAATTGTGCTACCCCTTATTACCTTTAAGGAAACCAGTCATTTCAATTTAAAGATAAGCAGATGCACTGGGTTAAGATGCCTATGCTAATATTTATGAATAAGGGTTAAGATGCTGTTATGCTAATATTTATGAATATTTAGAAGCCTTTAAAACTTGAGTTGAAAACTTCAATGTCATTTTTTTTTAAATTTGAAAGAAAAAAAATATTGCATTACATTTTTAAAATTCTAATGAAACAATTCAGGCATCAAAAGATTAAAATCATTATTTCTTAACCAAAACATGCAGTTCAAAAATTTGTTTAAGCTTTAAAGATGCAGGTTAATTAAATGTGAAAAATTTAACTGTTTTTCGGGAAAAAGTTAAAAACTTATAATTTAATATTGCTAAAGTCAAATTCTTTAGTTATATGTAAAGACAAAAAGTGCAAAACTATATATTTTTTTCACCTCCAAAACATTATTTAGATACATGGCAAATAGTATTTATAATTTGCTGTATTTCATTTCTAATTTTCGAGACAAACAGACACTGTTCATATAAATTAATAGGAAAACATAATTCATTGTTTCCCTCATACAGGGATGAGATTGGCCAAAAGACAAAAAAGCTGAATTTCCACGTGAGTAAATTTTACGTACACGCAATCATTTAATAATAAATTCCAGACAGTTTAAGGTAATAAATAACAATGTGTTGACATAAAATTACGTACTAACTTATAATTATATAAATTATTATATCGATACTTAACATTTAGTAAAAAGAAAAATTTCCAATTGAAAAATAAAGCTAGAAATTATACTTTTCTTCAGTTCACATAAGAGACAATTATTATGGAAAAAACTACTTGGCTTAGCAAATTAAAACTTCTGAGAGCATACATTAATATTGCATTTCTTTTAATAAATACTGTTACGTGATTTATAGCAAATATATCAGTAATATAACTTTTTAAATTATTTTGAAAAGAAAATAAACTTTTACAATAGGAATCACTATGTTCATATTATAATCTAATCTAACTAGAGTTCTGTGAAATATATCAATAACTGTGAAGTAGAAATATATAGTAACTCCTTCACAAAAATTACATGATAATCAGCAACTGTTCAGATAATTATTTTTCATTTGATAAGAATTTTGTCTTTTATAGCATAAATAACAGCAATGTTATTTTTTAAATTTTGATGATGAGTTAATTAAGTCTTTTTCCAAAAAAAAAAAAAAAACTTGAATCACTTTTTAAGTGATTGCTTTTGTTTGCTATATTTAGTCGTCAGCCCATCTTCAAACATCTTGTCCTACTTTTTCTTTCTTGCAAGCACAGCATGTAAGTTTTGAATATATTATTTTCCAGTTTCGCTGATGTTGTAACGCCTATATATACTAATAATCGTCGATAGAAAAACAGTCACCTTTATAGTAACTAATTCCAGAAAATTTTTTTTACTTCTAACAAGAATTGCAATAGTTGATCTTAAAATTGCGTGAATACAAATTACGATCCTGGATTTTAAAATCGCGTGAATATGAATCCCGATTAAGAATTTTGAAATCACGTGAATATGAAACTAGATATATGATTTTGAAAATGAGAAAATACATACTGCAATATAGAATTTTTAAATTGCGTAAATACAAATCAGATTTATTATTTTTAGATCGCGTAAAACGAATCCCGATGAGCAATTTTTAGATTGCATAAAAAAGAATTATGATGCACAATTTTTAGATCGTGTTAATGCGAATCAAAATGCCTTATTTTTAAATCACGTATAAATACGAAAATCAATGTTTGATATTATAATCGTGTGAGCGAATCTTTGGATTTTAAAATCACGTAAATACGAATCGCTACATAGGTTTTTAAAAAGGCGTAAATATAAATCACGATATCGGATTTTTAAATCTCGTAAATAAGAATCGCAATGTACGATATTCAAATCGAGTGAATAAGAATCGCAACATGCAACTTTTAAATCATGTAAATACGAAAAGCTATCCTTGATATTAAAATCACATGAATAAGAATCGAGATATTAGCAGATTGGGGCTTCTAAAAGGCTTGTTTGAAGAAGCGACGTCTGAATTGCGAAAATACGAGTTATCTGGCTGGCGAGTAAAAATGCGGAAAATCTTATTTTCTGCATGTAAAAGCGGAGAAAATAGCTAAAATAAGTAAAAATGCGGAAGGGTATGTAGTTTGAATTTTCTGTTTACCTTTGAAAATCGGAAATAAATATAATTATTTTATTTCAATGGCTAAATTTTCTGAAAAAGCGGAATATTCTTTTAAAAAATGAAATTTTTAGAGAATCTGAGTTTTTGATAAAAAGGCTGAAATTCGAGAGACAAAAGTGAAAAAAGAGGAAAAATCTCATCCCTGCTCATATAACTGAATTTCTTTTGCCACAACCCAATTCTAAGTTAATGCTGGGCATCCTTATTTTATATATATATATAAAAAAAAAAAAATACAGCTATGTATTAACGTAAAATGCTTCCCCAACTAAAACTTAAATAACAAAACTTTTTGAAATTTTACAATTAATGAACTATATATATTTATAAGTTCAATCAAGTGAAAAGTTCGTAGGAATAAATTTTATTATTGTCTATAAATACAATAAACACTAAAATTAGTATTTAAAACATAACAAGATACATTATTTACAAAATATACAACACGAATATACATGAAGATCGGTATTGACGGACCAAATATATATAGTTAGAATCTTTATCAAAACTTTATTAAAAAAAACATACACATTAGGGGTTAAATAAATTAAGCAAAGGAAAAATAAAATTGCTATCAAGGGAGCTCCCTAAGGCTGTTACAAAAGGATCAACGAATAAAATAAAGTACAAGCAATCTGAATAAAAGAAAATACAAGCAACCAGGTAGGTGGGTTAAAATGCGGAAAATGTTATTTTCTGCGAGTAAAAGCGGAAAAAATAGCTAAAAAAAAATGGAAAGCACCTGCAAAATGAAGAAGGGTTGGCAGCTATGTATATCTTATAGTAAAAGTCCAAGGTCTGGTAATTTCTAGGTTTTACTGCTAAAACAGAGGATTTACAAAAGGCTAAATAAGAAAAAATAGCTAAAATAAGTAAAAATATGGAAAGATGCATAATGAGGAAGGGTTATATGTTACAGTGAAAGTCCAAGGTCTGGTAAATTTTATGTTTTACTGGTAAAATGGAGTATTTACAAATGGGATTAGTCATTCCTAGGTTCTACCACAAATCCTTAGTAAAAAGCAAAGATGGAATATAATTAAAGCATACTTTGGACCTTTTACCAAGCAGCTTTGGTAAAAACTAGGGTTTACCTGAATTCACGTTTTTGTCATAATATACATATATTTACAAATCGGATTAGTCATTCCTAGGTTCTACAACAAATCCTTAGTAAAAAGCCAAAATGGAATCCCATTAAAGCATAATTCGGACCTTTTACCAAGCAGCTTTGGTAAAAACTAGGGTTTACCTGAATTCATGTTTCTGTCATAATATACATATATTTATGATTTGACTTTTGACAAAGCATATATGAAATAAGGGTGATGATTATGGCATATTTTACAAAATATCCTCTTCAGTAAAATCAGTTTTGTCGGATAATGATCTTCTGTTGAAATGAAACTTCAAAAACATACATGCTGGACTGCTTTCATTTTCTTTATACCAATCTAGAAGGTCTTCTGGTATGGGATTGTTTCTTGAAAGAAGCAACTGAATTAGGGAAGGAGCTGCACACTCTTGCAAAAACTTACACTCTGCATAAAAAAAATTATGAGTTTATTATTAATAACAAGTATAGCACTAGCAATAAATTTTTTAAATTAATCAAATGAGTAGAAAGACTGCATACAGGCCAGTTTATTTCTCTTACAAATGGGTTTGGTTTAAATATGAACATAGGGTGAGAACTGCATTAATGGGCTCGTAATGATGAGCAGAGATTTATTTTTATAAAAAAAAAAAAAAAATACTGATGCAAGCACATAGTACTATAATTATAGGAGGGCAGATGGTGGTAGTAATAAGCCTGGATTTAATGGCTCCCTAACCACGCCTGGATTTAATGGTTTCAAAACCGCCAGAAACATTAAAATGGATTAAATGACGGAAGGAGAAACATGAAAAAGTATGCAAATAGAGAAAGTGCAGCCTGATCAAACACCCAGCTTTTAGTAACAAAGGGAATCAGTCATGTGGTCAGACATTTTTGTCAGAAGTAAATTATTATATGGCCCCAAAACTCATTAGGCATGGTAGACACTACCTAACATACCTAATACTGTGGAACGACAATTATCTAATTTCTAATTATACGTCAATTCGGTTATCCGATATCCTTTCCGATGTGTGCTTGCATTTCATCACTGATACTACTCAAGGATCAAAGAGCTATTGATAAGATTAGATGGTTTAATATAAAAGCTTTCATTCTAAATCTGTTGTTATAAGAGAGTAAACAAAAGTTGAAAAATTTTAGGAGTCCTAAACGCTAAGAGCGCTATCTTCAATTTCGCTAAAGCTTGAAATAGTTAAAAAAAAAAGAAGAAAAATTTCAGCAAAATGACTGGAGTGGGCAATGGCTAAACAATTAAGTTCTAAATTGTTAAAACGGAACAAGGATGATGCATGTCATGAACAAATTAATGATGAGGAAATTTTACAGTGTAATAAATAAAACAGCATATGAATCTGATGATTCTAACAGTAATGTATTCAAATATGATGTAGTAATATAACCTTGCAGATAAAAGAAGACATGTTAATTAAATATATGGAGTAGTTTAAAAAACAAGAAGCTGATTTTAGCAAATTATTATTACTACAATGAATCCGAAACCTAGCTGCAAGAAAAAGAGGATTTAACAAATAACAAAAATACACCAACAATTTTTTCATGATATTGGTAAAAATATCATGAAAAGATTTTTGATCTTAATTTTAAATATTATAATGTGACTCATTTTTAGAAATTTTTACCCTTAGTTTTTCATTAATAATTTGTACACATAAATAATATACCTTAACAATAACAATTATATAGTTTATAATAATATACACTAATAATAATAATTCCTACAGTTAAAAAAATACACTCGGAAAAGTTTCCCAAATTATCCAACATGCTCATGGTTTTGAGGCTGTCAGATAATCGGGGATCTTCCGCATAGGAGATATGGACACAAATATGTTAGAAAGCTGTAATTTTTTATGCAATTTATTAATAAAATTTACCAGCTTGTAATGTATGGTTATTGCTTTGACTATTTTTTTCTTCAAAATTATACAACCATTTAACATAGTTTTACAATGCCACTAAAATATTCAAAAATAATTACTCACTATAAAAGTTTTAGTCAGACAAATAAATAAAAAAAATAACAGCATTGCTCTCATAGAATCAGAGCTAATGTAGCTCTCTGCACTCGTAGTTTTTCGATAAATTTATATTTTTACAAAAAATAATTTAAAAAATTTCAAAATAATTAAAATAATTTTTGAAATTTTCTTTTACAACTGACCTATATGTTTACTCAATGGAATTTGAATAAAAGTGTCAAATAATATTTTTGGATTACTATAGCATAAAAATAATAAATAAGAGAATAAAAATTATGAATAACTAAATTTTAAATGTGCGTTTTAACAAATTATACAAACAGTATAAACATATCAGGCTGAATTAAAAAGTTCATAAAAAATTACCAATATATTATATACCTTTGTCATCTTTTCCAGTTTCAAATAATTCCTTAAGAACTTTTTCAGGTTTCTCACTTGTAGGATAAAAGACTGATATCTCAGCTAGGAAGGAAAAAAAAAAATTGAAGAACAAAAATATAAAATATGATTAATAAAAAATAAAATACATAATGACAAAATTTAACTATTATAATACTAGAAAAATTTTTATTTTTAAAAAACTTTTTTGTTTTCAACATATGAAACATAATACAAAAGCAAAATGCCTAATTAACATTCATTAATTCAGTACATTACACCACTGATCCCTAATTCCCGGATTGATACTTGCCCGTAGATTAAATGATACTGGGCTGATACAGGAACATTAAATTATTTCCATTTTATTTACTGTGTTATATTTATTTAGGGTTTGTATGATTTTCCATGGATTAGAGGTTAACCTGAAGCTAACAGATATCGCCGAAAGCCGCACATGCATACTCTATCTATGGGAAAAACTTCTCTCGCCATTTATCTGAAGTAGTGGCGTGGTGTTGACTATGGTTATGAGGTATAACTATTTCAAGTAGGGGTGTTAGGTCAATATTTAAGACAGGTTTTTACTCAGGTCAATGAGAGAAAGGGAATTGGGGAGAGAGAAGCTTTCTTCCTTGAAATGCGTTACTTTTCGTTTTCATAGCAGCAGCGAGTTTTAGTCTTTGTGGCGAGAGGAGTTCTTTACACCGACAAACTATAATTGCATTTAGTTTCAAGGCATAATTTTCAATTATTTATTATATTAATAAAATTATTTAATAAAAACAAACTCAAATATAAACAATCAACAGCCTCCCCCTTAGCAGGTTGATATAAACTTATCAAATGTTGACCAGTTCGCGTAGATAAAAAGGTTAGGGAGCACTGGATTAGATAATGTTCTTAAACTTGTTCATCCAGAATCAGCCAGTAACAAATGACATAAGCCAAATAATGTTGCAGACATGATTCTATGTTTCAGAATACTGATAGCAATTGTTCCGTAAGAATCATCCACCTTCACTACCAGATCTAACTGTCAAGAGTGTAAATGAAGTAGGAAATTATTACCTAAATTTGCTTTTAATCATCTTTACTTAATTAGCTGAATTACATGAATAATAGAAGGTAAATAAAAATATAACAGATGCAAAGGTGGAATTATTTAAAACACAAAATGATAGCAATCAATGTTTCGAGAAGTTTCTTACTGTACAAAATAAACTGTCAGAAGAATTAAATAAATATTGCTTTAATCACTTTTATTTAATAATTGTTATAACTTTTTTTAATTGCAAGATACACAAATATTTACATTATTTTGAAGTATATAATCTTAAATTATGAAATTTGAACAGAATCGGTTGATTAGTTCTTAAAAAATGAAAGTTTAAAAATACGACATTTTTTTAAAAAAAATTTCTGTGTTAAAAAGAATTTAGGTGATTTCCTATAAATACGTGTGTAATTTCCTATTATATACTTTAAACAAGGTAAAGTTGTATACCTGACAACTTGAAAACTTTTCAATCATTATTCAATTAAACAGTAGAAGCTTAAAATTTTTGTTTAAAATTATCACTGGGTAAACCAGTGTTACATAGTAAATGAATATGTGTAAATTCTTACCATAAAGCTTGCAAAATAAAGTAAGAGTTCTTGAATTCTTTACAGAATCAACAGAATTACAAATGTATGGAATCAGGTATTTATTGATTATGTTTACTTTGGCCCAATACCATCCACGGTAAGCAGCAAATAAAACTAATGGAGTTGTAAACAAGTATTCCTTAGCATAGGTTCCTATAGTAAATAAATTGTTTTAAGATTAAGACAATTTAAATGAAATTTCTAAGACAAAGTTCAATTAAGGGAGATAAAAATATACCTTCAATGCATTTTTCCTTGATGGACTTTACCAGAAAATCTACAGTATCCACACTAGGTCTTACAACACTAGCCGATATATATTTTTCCAATATGCATTTTGATGATTCCCAGTCAGATATTTTCAATCCACTAAACCTACTACCTTTAATGGTTGGCAGTTGTTGGGCCTTCAGACGCAGAGAACCATAAAATACAGCTTCCTCCTCTAAAAACGTAAAACATGCTGTTTCAAAACCACAACAATAATTTAAACACATTTAAATTAACACAGTGTGTAGAAAGGAAAAAAAGGTGCATATTCAAAAAATTTTTATCGAGAGATCAGAACTAATAAGATGTAATCTAGTGATCATAACTAATAAGATCTTATCTAGCAATCAGAATTAAATATTAAATTCATAATTAAACTAAATAACTGGGATAATGTTATGACACAAGTATGATGAAATATGCTATTTTACGATAGAAACACACGCAGACACAAATGTATACCAGCTCTATACAGTCGGACCCCAATTAATCAATTCATAGGGACCGAAAAGATCATTCGCTGAACCGGGGATAATTATTAATATCGTGGGCAAAATAGAATGAAAAAAAAATGGACTTACTTTACCACATCTCTAAAGAGCAAATTCACAAAATAAATAAAAAACTTACTAATTTTATTCAGGAACTTAAAAAACAGCGAATGATTACACGCTGATCAATTTGAAATTTTAAAGTACTTCATGAGTAAAGTTTGTTTATTTCCTTGATTTCTCTCTGCTTCATTACCATTGACTTCTGTGTCAGAGTTGCTATTCATTGTTTCCGATAAATTTACTTCATTCATATTCCCGAAAGGATGGATACTGTAATCATTTGGAAAGCAATCCATAATTTTTCTAACTCAAATTAAGAAATTTTTTTGACCACTGGAATAATTCGCTAGTTCGGGGTTTTACATTCATTAAATAGCGGTTTTTGCCTTAATTTCAGTCGGGGAAATAGAAAAATTAAATAAATCGCGAAACTCGGTAAATAGGATCCAACTTTATGTTGATTGCAGGTCTAGAGAACGAAAGATAATTATTTTATGAAGCTTGGAAATATTTGTAATATAATCAGAATTCAACCCATAAATGCAGATATTTCTACCAGTGTATAACTATTATTTAAACAGTTAATTTTTTAAAATGAAAAATGAATAAAAAGGCAGTGTTTTCAAGGGATGGCAGCTTATTTTTAGGAAAAGGGCAGAGAGGGCGCATCAAAGGACAAGCAAGTTGAGCCCCCTTCTAAAAAAGTGGAGAGAGAATACTGATATACAGTGCAGAACCTCTTATCCGGAAATCAGAAAACCGGAAAACCAGATAACCCCAGATAACCGGAATGAAATTCGGAACCGGAAATTAATTTTCTTCCATTAAAAAATGTTTTTTCCTGCAAGATTTTGACCCCATTTTGTTATTTAGAGCGTACGGCGTATGAGTTGATGAAGGAACTGATTTAGATGACGGATCAAAAGCCGTTTATAGACGAATCTCACATAAGCACAAATAGCTTATATATGTTATTAATGTTAATAATAACATTAATAACATATATAAGCCTGTATGTAATTTTTATTTCATAATTTCTTTCCTTATTTAAACTTAAGTGTATTATTATTTATCATTTTTTATTATTTCTAAAACTATTTCAAAATAATTTTTTTAGTTTCGTTTTATAAACATTAAAAAAAAAACGCCATTTTGTAGCAATTCAGAAAACCGGAAAAATCAGTTATCCGGAATCGCGATGATCCCGATCGTTCCGGATAATCGGTTCTCTACTGTATAACAATAACTTATATATCATACTTTTAGCAAGGGATGATATCTAAAATAAATTTCTAATAGCAATAATATTTGATTGGTAGCGTTGTAAGTTACAGAAGCATAATTATGTTGAGAGTTAAAAATTACATTTAAGAGACACTGTATAGCAGCAATTAGATAACAATTTATTAATTTAGGAAATAAAGAGAAAAAAAATAATATTATTAAATCAGAATTGAAATCTCCTATTTATGAGCAAATTAGCTTGTCATGCCATATAGCTGGTGATTGCTAAACTCACTGCATATAGATACTTTTCACTACACAAGCCTGTTTTACAATACATTATTGCACAGCTGGGAAAAAATTTTAGGATTAAAGTAGTATAAAAATACAAATGCCAAGATACACAGTGTTCCAAACAGTGACAGGCATGAACTGAATTAATAAAAAAAATGTTCAATACTTATATTTAATAATAAAAATAGATTAAAAAGATACATTTATCAGAACTATTTTTTCTCAAAGAAATTAGAATATAAAAATGTAAAAGGGTTACCCTAATGAAAAGTGGACACTACAAGTAGCTGCAGAAATACAATAGTGTCACCAATCAAAGGTTTAAAGATAGGTAAAAAAAAAAAAAAAAATGCACCGAATATTGCATATTATAACAAATTATTCAATTCAGCTCGCATAAGAGCATATTAAGTGAATGTAAAATTGCGCTAAAGATAAATGCACAGTAGTACAATTTTTATTGCAATAGGTGTCTGCACATTTTATTTATTCAGTCAGAGTGAGGTACTAATATCATGAATAAAAACTCATGTTTAGTAGTCTTGCTCCACTGTTTCCTTACATCTGATGTATACTTATGCCTGCGCTTAACAAAAACTTTTAAGCAGTTCTTTAACACACCAATCATAGCAAAGCCCCATTTTTCAAATTGCCATGATAGAAACCAGACATAATTTTGACCTTGGTCAGGCAATGCGAACACCGGAGTTGGTACAGTTTTTACCTAATCATCACACCACAACCGAGAGGATTTTTTTTTAGCCATGATAGATTAAATGTACACCTTGCTGTAAACGCACAACAGCTGTTAAGTGGGCTGCTAGGATCAAATGGACAATCTCCAACTCAAGCAGAGTGAGAGATGTTTTAACTAATTGCACTACCCGAGTGTGAGCTAATTTGTCCATGACAGAGTTAGACTTTAGTTCTGACTTTAAAAATAGTATTACAACACACTGTTACATTCAAGACACCTCCATTTCTTTGCGACTTTACATTCACTTTAAATGCTCTCACGAGAAACCAGTTATATGAAACTTACTGTGAACTCCTCTTACCTTGAATGGTGACACTATTCATACACTCCCTATAGTATTTATGATGCTATCATGCCTGTCCGAATTTTAATTGAGCAACTTTTTATAATAAAGAAATATAACATTTTAAATTATTACCTGCAACATCATAAGGAATATCCAAGAGATCTTTCCATACACCAAGGATAGTTGCTATCAACATTGGTGAATACCTGTGGTTAACTTTAAGGATATCACAACAGAAAGATATCGCTTCTCGCTTATTTGCTTCAGATTTACAAATTAATGTATATATTCTGCAAAATGCACAAGAACCATTTAGGCTCAAGTTATTCACTGCAAGGATCAGCTGACGAATATTAACCACAATCAATAGTATCAAGTCTTTAAAACACTCATCCGACTTTTCTAAGTCACGTAAAACATTAACAACGCATTCCTCAAAAGGGGATAAAAATACAGATGGATCTTGCTGTTTTTTAAAATCACGCACAGGATTATATTTTTCAATCAGTGAGAAATATTTCAAGACATAAAATACAATAGATTCATTTTCAGGTGAAACTGTTTTATCTTTAAATGCCTCAGTTAACTCTTTCGTACTTGATAAAAGTTTCCAAGTAAATGGTAAAGAGCACTTTATTTTTCTAAAACAACTAGCAATGATTTCAGGGACCGATTTGGCAAAATTTTTCCTTACAGGTCTCTTCCACCTTCTAACATAATTATAATACTTTTTTTCAGATAAACTCTTGGAGGTATTGCTTACACCTAACTCATCTTCTTCATTAGAAATATCCTCAGGAACTTCTTCCAAGCAGGAATTTGTAGTAACTTCAATATTTTCGCGTTTATTCATGATTGGAGATACACCAGCAGAAGTCTGAGAATAAGCTTGCGTTTTTGATTCTTTTTCTGGAACGTTTTTAGAAAGAGATGTATCATTTACAATTATGGCGCTATTATCATTTTTTGATTTTGCCATCCATTTTGGTTTACGGACTGTAGTCTTGGATTTGGCATTCCTTCTTCTATTTAAAATTTTTTCAATTTTACTAAATGATTTCAACAGTGATGTGGAAAATTCAATTTTATGGGATTGGTTTAATTGTGACAATGATTTCATGTTCTGTTTTGTAATGGAAGATGATTGGATGTCAGTGCTATCTTCAAATGATGAATTGTTAGATTTAGCAGTTACCAAATTTACTAATTTCGAAGATGTTTTTACTTTTTTACTGTTTGTGTTGCAAGTGCTTTTGCTGTATTTATTCAAATGAAAGGGGGGACGAAGGAAACTGGCATTTTTTGAAAGCAGTGTAATAGACTGCTGTTTAGTCACATTATGAACAACTAAACTTTGTTTGTTAAGCTTTTTGTTTTTAACTCTTGCAATTTTCTTTTTAGGCATCATGCATGATTTGGGGCTTTTATTTAGGAAAGTAGAATTATCATCTGGTTTAAAACTTCTTCTGTAAGGAGTTTCTATATTTGTTACAATTTCCATCTGAGGCTGCTCAGTCAAGCGATTTTGGACAATTGATTTGCCTGTCTCCTGCTTAGAGTTTTCTGAAAAATAAATAAATTAAAAGCTTTAATTTTTTTCATTATGCATGGTAAATGATAGAAATTAAATCAAATCATTAGGACTTAATCTATATTAGTCTAATTTTTGATGTACATAAAATTACACCATAACATAAAACTTTGATACTTAATCTTTTAATTACTTAAATAAAATAAGGATAATATAAAACAAACAAATATTTTTTTCAAATTTTAGAATTGATGATATAGGTGACTGACTAAAATAAAGTTAAATTTAAAAGGGTAAAAGTTAGAATGCATCAAATGCCAAGTTTAAATGGCTTTTAGGTTTGCTTTCGTTTGAAAAGGTTTAACATGACTTAACTATAGTAAAGTGGCGAATTATATAAGTCTTCGAATTATTTAGAAATAGTGGTGGATAAAAACTTAATAAATCGAATTTATTAAACCAAGAATCACACATTAAAAAGCTACCACTCGAAAATATTTATCCGCTGTCTGGAGCAAATTAGCGTCTCTGCTATTTAAAAAAATAAATAGAAAAGATAGTTGAATTTATTTATGTTGTCAAAATATTAAGTACCCAAAAAATTTATTTAAACAAATTACAGTGACACCTCCAGGAAAGACGACTTCTATTCACGACCACTTTTGGGAATTCTTTCTATAGACTTTCTGTCGAAGAAAACCTTTGAGAGTGACCATTAAAACCACTTCCAGTGACCTGCACCAAATGCGGAAAAGGTCAAATAAGGAAACACGAAAAAATATCAAAACAAACAAGTAGATTAAAATGTATTCAAAATATTTGTGTGAGGCTCTTATTTAGAGAGTTCTCTTTTAACAATACAACCTCATGTTCTTGTCAAAGTGCACTAAAAGCAATGTTATTCATGAATATATAGAGTTGAAAGTTTAATTAGAAAAAAAAAGTTATTTTAGAAAAAAATAATATCTCAAATAAACAAACATCTTCTCACTTTTTAAAGCTAATTTTTATGACATAAAATTAAATGTAAACTTTAACAAAAAACATAATTGTTTATTTATTTAAAATAGTTTTATCATTCATAATTATATCAGTTGGGATCATTTTTATAGGTTCTAAATTTTATTCATCGATCAGTCTTTCCAGGGCGCTAACAGAAGTGGCATTTCTGCATCAAGAAAATGACACTAACTAAAATTAAAATCGTTTATGAAAAATCACGAACTTTAGATAACAATTTTGAACGGAGGTAATCCAGGGCGCATAGCCAAATTTTTCAACAAAAAATAAGCACTTTTTAAGCACTCAAAAATATTTGCAAGCACTTTTGACAATTGACGTTTTTATCCGGATTAAACGCCATGTCAAAAACACACAGCAGGCACAGTTTTTTGACGATTATCAAAAATGATGAAATTTTTAAATCATAAAACAAATGGCGTTTTCATACGATATGGACCGGCGGTATGCCGGAAAAGATTGGGGTTGAATTAATTGTGAAAACATTTAATAGAACAATAAGAACAGTGTCTTTTAGCATAATACATGGCAAAAATCAACGAGGTAAAGGGAAAATTAAGCACTTTTAAAAACACCCAATGAAAAAAGCACATTTAAAGGCTTTTAAAAAACGATAATCGAAAATAAGCACCTTTAAGCACTTTTTTAAAAGGCTATGCACCCTGGGTAACCTCTAAGAACAACCAACTTCCATCAACGACCTTTTACTGTGGAATGATGAGTGATTGCTCCTGAGAGGTTTCACTGTATTAATTTATTTGTAAGAGTTGCTTACCTTTGACCTGAAGCAAAGTGGATTCTTTCCTCAAAGTAAGCAGTGGTTCAGATGATTCTTCTTCAAGTGAATCATGACAGCTTCCAGGTGAAAGAACAACAGTGTCGATTTCCCATCTCTCTGATGGAGATAACTCAGAATGTACTTCCATTAGATCATTGGGTAGAATTGGTACAGTTGAAATCTCATCATTATCTGTTACTTCCCGTTCTGTAACCACGCTTTTTGATTCATTTATAGTCCTCAAAATGTGTAAAGATTTGTGACAAGAAGAGCCCATTTCAACATCATTCCTACCGTTATTTATTTGCAGTGAATTTGAATACATTTCCTTTCCAAATTCAGATGCAGAAGTTGCACCTGTAACTGAATTTAATTTACCTTTAAATGAATTTATAAATTGACTTTTAGGTGAACTGGTGAGTTGATCTTTAGGTGAACTATCAGGTAAATGAGCACCATCTTTGTTAAATGTGTTTGAACTTAAAGGTAGTTCATGCTTTTCACCATCTTTAACCATCACAGCATGATAAGAAGGAATTGCATCACTTTCACTAGATGGATTTAGTTCACCAATAGTTTCAATACCTGTCTTCATTTTTTTGGTGTACTTAAGTTGTGAATATTCAGAAGACAGTGCATCAAAAGGAATAGCAGTAATTTGTTTTAAATTATATTCATTTGGAACAACCAATGTTTTAGAAGAAGAGGAAGTAGAATCCTTTTGTAATGGAGAATTTAAATCACTAGCAGAATTTACAAGCAATGTGTTAAATTTACGTTTCTTTAATCGACTTAGTTTCTTCCTCATACGAGGGGGTGATTTAATTGGTGACAGTGGTTCCATTATATTGAGATGAAATTCAATATCAGTATTATGGTGAGGATTACTTTTGTTTCCATAGCTGAGATTTAAAGAGGATGGTGTTTTTTCTATCAATTTTGAGCTATCTAAAAGAAAAATATAACAAAGCAACAATTAATTTTTTAGGAAGAATAATTTAATATAAATTTAAAAAAATAACCAATACTAAATGAATACTAACAAAGCAGTCAACTTCTGATTATTAACTAGTACAACTTATAAATAAAAATAGGTAATTTTTGCAAGTCAAGCAGGACAAAATGTGTTTTATGTATTGTAGCGCATCCCAAAATTTTTAGAATCAACTTGGTTAACAGAAACATTCAGAAAAAAGGTTTGTATAATTAAAATTCTACAGTAGTAAAAAAAATAAAACCAATATACGAACAATCAGTTTTATTATTTAACTTATTAAATTAAAAAATAACAGAGTTTTTAGGTAAAAGTAAATTAGATTATTCAGTCAACATTAAACATGAACTTTAAAATAAATAAAAAAAAACAAAAAATCAATTACAGGTAGTTTACTTTAAAACTCATAAAATTGATGAACAGCTAAACTTCTAAATTTAATATTGTTAGTAAATAACATCTAAAAACCATTTGAATTTATTATAATTTTAATAACAGCATTGATTAACTTTTTATAATAGCACTTAGAAAACTAAATCCTTCTATATTGGTTCACATGCTCTACCAGTCATAAGAAATATAATGCAGGGGAGTAATTGGTGAGAGTAACAAGAATGTAATATTGGTAGAATATTTAATAAGTGTTTTATCTTGTTCGGTTAACGTTCGCATAAAAGAAAAAAAAAATACTAGAAATATGGCACGAAGTTTGCAAAAAGAAAGAAAAAAAAAGGTAAAGGTATAAGAATAATCTAATAGTAATAAGAACTAATTTTAAGGGGTTACTGTACCCTTGCAACATTATTTTTAAATAAAGGTATATAATCATTCATTTTGTGCATGCTTTACATGCTCATTTAATTTATAATTAATAATTTATCTTCAAAAAATAGTTACACTGTTTAATTTTTTTAAAATTTAAAAAAAAATTGAAAAATTTCAACATTTTAAAAAAAATGATTTTTCTTAGTGCTTACAATATTCATCGTAACAATTTTGTGCATTCATTTGTTGACATATCAATTAGAACATTTTTTACAGATTATTTTGTAAAAAAGTAGAAAAAGGGTTAAAAATTCCAGTTAGGTATAACATGCTGTAAAAATTGTAATACCTCATAAAATGCTCATTCCATGCACAGTTTAAATAAGTTTATTATACTTAAGATAAAAAAAGTTTATTTCAAAGCTTTATCTTAAATAGAAAAAAATTCCTTAGGGATTTAATTAAGATTAAAACATAAAATTATCATCTGTGAGATTTTGTTTTAGGGCAATCTAAAATCATTCATAACTTTTTAAAAAATGTAGATAGAGATATAATTTTTTTTCAGTGCATTTGAAATAGTTTGAAGTTTTGTTATAAGCAATAAAAAAATATCGATATTTTGGTCATTTTTTGGGTAATGTGATTCCTTAAGAACATATAAATATAATGCATAAAATAACAGAAAATAATTTTGAAGACTATTTTGTGAAGTTCTTATTTGTGTATAAATATTTTATGGGAAAAATATATAATTCAGTAACTTATGCAAAAATAAGAAAACTAATTGAGAAAAAATTCTCAAATTTGGTATAGAATCATGCTTAGTTATCTGTCATTACCAATTTGCTTGATATACATTTCAATATGCCCAAACTCTACTAACATTAATTTGAAAAGTGTCAAATAAATAAGTTTTAAATATATGAAAATAAATATTAAACATATCAATATCGTAGAACTACTATTAATTTTAGTTAATTTAATTTTATAATTCAGGTAGCAGAACCACACATGAAATTCCATACCCAACTACCCCCATTTTTTAAAATAAAATGAATCCCAATAGAATTGCAGAAGAAATTGCTTAATATACAGAAGATTTTGCATGCTTTAAATTTTTAGTGCTTATTCAAAGAACCAACGGTACAGTAATTGGGATTGAGGGTTTTAACACAATCAGAGGGAAAAAAAAAAAAATCTGAAATAGCAGAGAAATAAGATTCCTTTTTTTTGTACTATCAGATGCGTAACACCTGATATTTAGCATAAATTAATGACCTATAACAACAATCAGACTGAAGAGTTGCAAAAAGTAAAGATGCCATTGCCTAAGATGGTATGAGAGCTCAGCTTCACACACACATGTGTAATATGTGTGCACACACACATGTGTAATATGTGCACACACACATGTGTACATGTGTAATACATAGTTTTAACAAAGTACAAAATTTTAATGTTTATTTTCAAAATGCAGAAGATTTGAGGTAAAGAAAAGTTGACAGCTTTGAAACCTTATTGAAATAGGAGAAACTAATAACTTTGAAAAATTATAATTTTCTGCAATTAAAATGAATGGATAGATTAAAAATTTTATTTGATTAGTTTTTAAACATTTTGAAAAGTGATTGATAGCAAATTTTTGGCTGAGTGTTTATTTTTCAGCTGCTTCAGGAAAAGAAACGAAATTTAGAAAAGTAATTAGATAATCACAAAAAATAAGTAAAAAGTTGAAAATTGCAACAAAAAAGTTTTCTAAATAAATTTTCTTAATTGAAAAATAATTAAATTACCGCTAAACATTTAAATACTGGAAATATAAGTGTGCAATCTGTTAATTTATAACTCCAAATAAAATAGTCACAAAATATTTATTTGATAAAATAAAACTTAATTTTACAGTAACAAAAACAATTAAAATTAATGTTTTTAACTAATTCTTATTAAAAAAAGTTTACGACAATCAATCCTAATTAAAAATTTACAAAGAATAGTTGCAACATTCTGAAAAAAAAAAGTTAAATAAAATAGATATATACTAAGCAAAAATATAAAGCATTATATCAATTATTCTGAATCCTGAGGCTAGATCGGGAATAGTGCAATGCCGATCTAATTGTACAGGTCTTACCTCGGATTCAAATTCTTGGCCTTAAGGTCTTTAGCAGGTAATGCTAAAAGAAACCTCACCAGTAGATATACTTTTAATTCCATCATACATTACATCAGTGACAAAATATACCCTGTAGAAGAAAATATTCATTTGTAAAAGGTAAAACTGAAATTTTTTTTTTATTAATTATAAAGTTACTTAAAAACCTAACTTTCAAATTTTAATAACTGAGATGCCTTTAAAAATTTCTTTCCAGGTTTTTAACAAAATGTTTCATTTATCTCAAGTTTTTTAAAATAATTTTTTATGTTTTGAGTTTTCCATATTTTGTATTATAATATTTATATTAATTTATTTTTCAAATACAATGATTACATTTTGATTAAAATACAAATAAGGATATCATTTTCACCTAAGCAAATCTCAATACAAAAATTTTTTTTTCTTCTGAAACTTACATATTTCAGAGTGAGGGTTGCTATAAGTTTTAATTTGATATGATATGAAGTAATACAGTAAAACCTCAGTTAACAGGAACATTCTTGGGACCGAAAAAATTGTCCATTTACAGGAAGGGTACCCTAGTAACGAAGTTTAACACCGTAAATTGTTTTCAGAATATTTTCAAAGATGTAGAAATAATCTACAATAACTATCTATGAGTATATTTATTTAAACTTAATGAAAGATAAAAAAGAATATATAAAGAGGTGAAATTTGATATAAATACATAATTCTAGGTGCAGATAAATTAATGTAATTTTCCTGTTGGCATAGATATTCAAGTTAAGCACATGATATTGATTAGGAGCTTTCAGTCCTTAGTCGGTTTCAATTATTAGGTTCATACTCGTTTACACCTACCAAACATTTGATAGGGAACGTGGTTAATACCTTCTTGAAAGTAAACCCCCCCCACCCCGATTCACAGAAGAAAAAAAAGCAATGCATACCTGTAAGTCATGAGGACCAATGGAGTTGTTAATTCCAAATTGATCAGCTTTCAAGTGTCTGAATAAATGTTTCATTTATATGAACACCTCAAAGATTATATCAGATAAATTTTAAAAACTGGAGTTTGCAACAAAATTACAACTCCTTAAACTATAAATTTAAGAAAATGAGAAAAATCATCATTCTTTCTAGCAAACAACTTCTAAAATATTTGCCGTTTTGGAATTACTTTTTAGATTATCAATTTTATACTTTTATTTAATAATAAAGGCAATTGTTTTATCATAGCCTTTAATACAATTTTATTCCCTAAAACATATTCATAAAAAGTGAAAACAAATTTAAAAAAAAAAAGCATTTAATTTTTTTTTTTTAAAAGTTGCAATTCTTTTTAATCTAATTTTTAAAATGGTACCAGTTTCAAAACTGACATAATCAGGTTTGGTATTTAGAAGCTTTTGCTGCGGGTTTATTTCAATTTTCGTAAGTTCCATATTAAATCGAAAAAAATATACATCTTTGTTAGTTTTTTTTAAAAAATTTATCCTTTATTTACCTCTGAAAATTTCCATACATGCATGTTTATATAAGTTAATTTTTCCAATAATAGTCTGAAAAACTTTTATTTGAAGAGAGATATCTTACAGGAATTAATTGCATAAATCTTGAACTAGACATCAATTTTGTTTTAGTTATTTAAATGCTTCAACTAAGGTTTTATTCCATCATTTATTTTCATTCTTGGTCTAAAGGTCCTAAGCAGCAAATGCTACAAGATAACCTTAGATATAAGAAATAAGAAGTGTTTTGCAGTTCTAATATAGATCATTTTGTTGATAAAGAGAATCCTATAAAAGCTATATACCTTTTCAAAAGCTTAAGATTATAAATTAAATTTTTTCAAATAAACATGGTATACTCTCGATATCTTCAAGTTGAAGGGAAGTTAAAAGATTTTTGAGACAACGAGTTTTTGAGATAAAAAGTGCAGAACTAAATATGTTCCAAAAAGTATAAAAATATATTCTAAAATATTACTTTAAAAAGTAGAGTCATGAAACATTAGAATAACTTCTCATAAATATTTATGTAATGATAGTTGACTATAAGTCTAAATGGAAAAACTAATTTTACGACAAAAATAACCATGCATTAAATAGAAAATAATTGGTTTACAATAATTGTTACAACTATTATTAACAAAATATTCCTTACAACTGATATTGTGATTTTCCTGAAAAAATTCATCTTCTTTTTCGAAAAAAATTTGGCATAACAAGGTTTTAGAAGAAACTCTTGGACATAGAATTCAAATTAACATTAGGTGGATATTCAATGCCATGGGTAAAAATTTTTTTTTTGACCTAACAAACTTTTCGAGACATCAAAGTTCCAGATACTGAGAGTATACTGTAGCCTACAAAAATAAGAGTAAATAATACATAAAAATCTATTTACCACTTCTTTTGGCTTTATTTCCGGAAGGCAGCTCCTAACAAAGAAAAAATAAATAAGTACTAACCAGTCACATATGAAATAAAATTTGGACAAAAATAAATAAGTAATGAAATGGCATGTTATTCATAAACAAATTTTTTAAATCCGATTTACGGATCATTTTTAGTGATGCAATTGTACGAAAAGAGAAACTCATAGAATGACATGTTGTTAAACAATCATAATTTAAAGCTGAAGACAGGTTTATTTTTTATCAATTTATTTTCTGAGCAATCACTTAACTGAAACATGAAATTAAGAGTTTAAAATTAAAAAGTCTAAAATTTTGGTAATACTATTTTATTTAAATATGTTTTAACTGTTATTATTGTGAGAAAAGTTAACTTGTGCTTGTGAATTTTAACGTTTTTGACATAATTTTTTTAAAACAATAAATATACATTTAGAACAATACAATGAGTAACGTATTAAATTTCATAAAATTATTATTGCAGACAAATCCAAGCAAATAAGTTATTTAAAGTTTTTTTGTAGGCAAATCCTAACTATTATGCAGCAAAAAATTTAATATTTTGAAAATTTATATGTATAATTACAATAATCTGTAGAAGTGGTTGTTTTGCATACAATAATATAATTTTTTTTTATAACCGGCATTAAACAGCCGACCCAATTTTCGGGTTCACAACTTCTTATGCTCAACTCTATAGCCTTGTCATTTTGAACTCAATCCAGAAGACAAGGAAACTCCTAGATAAAGTATTGGGAGAAATTTGCTTTCGTGGAGGACTTTTCAAGGGAACTAACCTGCATTTGCGTTACAAGGAGAGGAAGACCATGGTTAGCCTGACGGCAAAGGGATTCTAACCCATGATCCGTCTATCAACCTAGCAGGCACTTAACTTGTCATGCAACAACAAAAGTTATAACTTATTTAAAAATCCTACACCAAATTTTCAAATTCCATAATATTATGCTTCAGTAAAGAAGTTGGGTTTTAAAATAATGGCTTTAAAAAGAAAGACTAAATGTTCAGCTGTGATAAACAAAGAATGGTTAGAAAAACCTAACTTTTTACCATAAAAAAGAAATAAATAAGTCGATTTTTTTTTTAAAAAAATAAAGATGTATTGTCCGGATACTATCACATTAATAACTTTGATATGTAAAAGAATAGTAAGTTACAACTCAAAATGTGATTTTAATACTTATTGACCAGAATTTTAATTAATCTTCAGATAAAACAAAATATTTTTGTTTAAACAGAAGTTTACATTTAGCATTTAAAAATTTATTATTCATCTTCATAAATAAAAGCATAGCAAAATTGCTAAAAAATTGTTACCTGAATTGTCCCATTTTCAATAAAGGATATTTCAGTGTTTTTCTTTGAAGATCGTAACCATTCATCCTTTTTTATACAAGTATTCTTCCTTTCTACCTCACATGACTGATCTAAAAAAAAAAGGCACAAGACTATTAAAAAAAATTAGTTAAATAATATATAATATCCACCAATAAATAATCTATTAATAATCCGCTAACAAAAAATCTATTAATTAGTGGAGAAATGGTAAAGTGTGTAACATTAACGGAAATCAAAATGACTCTCATACCTGAGACAACAACAGACCTTATAATGTCAGGTTGTAATATTGCCAGAACACATAAATACCTAAAACAAAATACTATACCAATTTTAACAAATTAGAGCTACGCTTTAAGAAACTTTTCATCTCAAAATTTCTTTCATACCCTTACCTGGTATTTAAGTGGATTTAAGGCATTTTACATTCTCAGAGTAATAATATCAAAGAAAATAATGATTTAAATAACTTCTTTCAAGCTGTTTCTAATTTAAAATCATTACNCTTTCGTTTAAAACTGGCGCAACTAGAAATTTTTTGTTGGTTGGGGGGGGGCGGTTAATTGTCATTAAATTAAGAAAAGTATTTAATTAAATTAATTAATGTAATTAAAGTAAGTAAGTATTATTTAAATTTTAAGTAAACTTAATCGTTTGACTTCCCAAGCCCCCCCCCTTTTCTGGTTGCAAGCCTGCCTTAAAGACCCGTTTATTACGAGCACTCGGATTTAACGAGTACAACGCTACGGTCCCTTTGTGCTCGTTATAAACGAGTTCGACTGTATACATTTCTTGTAAATTCTTATTTAGTATTTGAAATTCAAATTTGACTATACATTTGCATAACATAAGCCTAACTTTCACTATAACAGTCTTTACTTGACTGCATTTGAGTCATCGACAAATTTTAAACTATCAAGATGGTGCTACAGATTGCTACCAGGAGGAAGTTTGAAGCTATGAGACAAAGGGAAGGACAGGGTAAAAAAATATTGAAAGAAAGTGTGACATAATTTATGGATGACCCTAACGGCATGAATCACGAGGTCAGATCGGGAAGAGTGCAATGCCGATCTAAATTTGTAAATCTTACCTCGGATTTTCACTCTTGGTCTAAAGGTCTTAAGCAGCAAATGCTACAAGATAACCTTAGAGATAAGTAATAAGAAGTGTTCTGCAGTTCCAATATAGATCATTTTGTTGATAAAGAGAATCCTATAAAAGATATATACCTTCTCAAAAGCTTAAAATTATAAATGAAATTGTTTCAAATAAACATAGTATACTCTCGATATATTCAAGTTGAAGGGAAGTTAAAAGATTTTCGAGATAAAAAGTGCAAAACTAAATATGTTCCAAAAAGTATAAAAATATATTTTAAAATATTACTCCAAAAATTATAAAAATATATTTTAAAATATTACTCCAAAAGGTATAAAAATATATTCTAAAATATTACTCTAAAAAGTAAAGTCATGAAACATTAGAATAACTTTTCATAAATATGTATGTAATGACAGTCTAAATGGCAAATCTAATTTTAGGACATAAATAATTATGCATTTAAATAGAAAATAATTGGTTTACAATAACTGTTACAACTATTATTAACAAAGTATTGGTTACAACTTTTATTGTGATTTTTCTGAAAAAATTCATGTTCTTTTTCGAAAAAAATGTGACATAACAAGGTTTTAGAAGAAACTCTTCGACATAGGAATTCAAATTAACATTAGGTGGATATTCAATGCCATGAGGAAGAAAATTTTTTTGACCTAACAAAATTTTCGAGACATGGAAGTTTCAGATACTGAGAGTATACTGTAGCCTAAAAAAATAAGAGTAAATAATACATAAAAATCTATTTACCTATTCTTTTGGCTTTATTTCCAGAAGGCAGCTCCTAACAAAGAAAAATAAAAATTAAATAAGTAATGAAATGGCATATTATTCATAAATGAATTTTTTAAATCCGATTTAAGCATCATTTTTAGTGACGCAATTGTACGAAAAGAGAAATTCCATTTTTTAAAGCTTTTTAATGGCATAGAATGACATATTGTTAACCAATCATATTTTAAAGCTGAAGACAGGTTTATTTTGTATCAATTCATTTTCTGAGCAACTACTTAACTGAAAAATGAAGTTAAGAAAGTTTAAAATAAAAAAGTCTTTAATTTTGGTAATACTAGTTAATTTAAATATGTTTTAACTGTTATTATTGTGAGAAAAGTTAACTTGTGCTTGTGAATTTTAACGTTTTTGACATAATTTTTTTAAAACAATAAATAAACATTTAGAACAATACAATGAATTATGTATTAAATTTCATAAAATTATTATTGCAGACAAATCCAAGCAAATAAGTTATCTAAAACTTTTTTTGTAGGCAAATCCTAACTATTATGCAGCAAAAAATTTAATATTCTTAAAATTTATACGTCTAATTACAATAATCTGCAGAAGTGGTTGTTTTGCGTACAATAATATCTTTTTTTTAGAACCGCCATTGAACAGCCGACCCAATTTTCGGGTTCACAACTTCTAATGCTCAACTCTGTAGCCTTGTCATTTTGAACTCAATCCAGAAGACAAGGGAACTCTTAGATAAAGTATTGGGAGAAGTTTGCTCTCGTGGAGAACTTTTCAAGGGAACTAACCTGCATTTGCGTTACAAGGAGAGGAAGACCAACCTCCCATGGTTAGCCTGACGGCAAAGGGATTCTAACCCATGATCCGTCTACCAATCTAGCAGGCACTTAACTTTTCATGCAACAACAAAAGTTATAACTTATTTAAAAACCCTGCATGAAATTTTCAGATTCCATAATATTATGCTTCAGTAAAGAAGTTGAGTTGTAAAATAATGGCTTTAAAACAAACGACTAAATGTTCAGCTGTGATAAACAAAGAATGGTTAGAAAAACCTAACTTTCTACCATAAAAAAGAAATAAATAAGTCGAATTTTTTTTTAAAAAATAAAGATGTATTGTCCGGGTACTATCACATTAATAACTTTGACATGTAAAAGAATAGTAAGTTACAACTCAAAATGTGATTTTAATACTTATTGATAAGAATTTTAATTAATCTTCAGATAAAACAAAATATTTTTGTTTAGATAACAGTTTAAATTTAACACTTAAAAATTTATTATTCATCTTCATAAATAAAAGCATAACAAAATGGCTCAAAAATTGTTACCTGAATTGTCTCATTTTCAATATAGGATATTTCAGTGTCTTTCTTTGAAGATCGTAAACATTCATCCTTTTTTATACAAGCATTCTTCCTTTCTACTTCACATGACTGATCTAAAAAAAAAGGGATAAGATTATAAAAAAAAATTGGTTAAATAATATATAATATCCACTACTAAATAATCTATTAATAATCCATAATAATCCGCTAACAAATAATCTATTAATTAGTGGAGAAATGGTAAAGTGTATAACATTAACGGATATCAAAACGACTCTCATACCGGAAACGACAACATACCTTATAACGTCAGGTTGTAATTTTGTCAGAACACATAAATACCAAAAACAAAATACTATATCAATTTCAACAAATTAGCGCTAAGCTTTAAGAAACTTTTAATCTCCTTACCTGGTATTTAAGTGGATTTAAGGAATTTTACATTCTCAGAGTAATAAAATCAAAGAAAATAATGGTTTAAATAACTTCCTTTCAAGTTGTTTCTAATTTAAAATTATTACTTAATTTCGGACACTATATTGAAATAATTGGCTCAGTGTGAACATTCTAATAGATATCAAAATAGTATTTTGACTATAGAATAACAAAAAGGACTTTATATATATACTGGTTGTTATAACTGAAGGATCAGTGTAATGGGAGGGGATCAAACTAAAAAGATAGAGTATATTTATTTTTGGAACTATAGTGGAAAGGTACGAATGTATTCAGCACTGCATTAGAGCACAGTAAACAACTATAATTGAAAACTCTAGCAATTTATAGCAAACTTCTAATTTTAAGAATAAATTTGAAGATAAAAGGGGAAGAACTATTTTGTCTGAATCAGCTTTTATGACAAAAACTATTTTTTCCCGTGATCCCCATTTAAAGATGGATTAATAGAATAATAAGACTAACACTGAACTGAAAGCAGTTAATTACTAAAATTAAAAACTTAATTGGCTGAAATTTAGATGTTTTATTTAAGCATAAGATATTTTTTATAACCTCAAGCATAACATTTAAATAAATAATAAAATTCAAAATATAAATTAATTAATTAATAAAACTAGTATAAATTTCGTATAATTAATAAATTTTAAGTATAAAGTAATATATTACATAACAAAAATACCCAGAGAATATCTAATCTATTTTTAAATGTAAATTACTAATTGGAGGAATATGTTTAGCACAAGAATTTAAAAAAAAAAAAAAGGATACTAAGATAATCACACATTTTACAGAAAAAATAAGAGATAGAAAGACAGAAACAAACACTATATAGTAATTTTATTTGAATTGCCAATAAAATAACTTACTTTGAACAAGTCTATTCAAATAATCATTCAGTAATCTGTAAAAATAAAAAAACACAATTTTTTTAAAAATCAAAACTATAATTTGAAATATTTTAAAATATGTGAATGAAAATTACTATTATAAAATATTTTATAATAGGTATTAAGAAAGTTTTAAAAGCAATTCAGGACAATAATAATAATGAAAATCTTGAAACAATTGCTAGTAATACTTAATTTGCATTATATTAATAACCGATCTATGCAAGTTATGTTTTTAGGATTTATATTTAATTATAATCCTGGAAACAGAATTTCTTGAGTATAACAGAATTTATAAATTCAAATTTGACTGCAATCTCAATGCAGTAACACTAAGACTATTACTCGCTTTAATCTAGCACCAGCAAATGTTGAAACAATGTAAAAAAATGTTTTATTTTTTTAAATATTGCATTTGAAACAAAAGGTAAAAGGATTGAAAATATCCCAAAATGATAAAAACAAAAATATTACTAATCGATAAAAAAATATTGAAGAGTATTAAACGATTCAAAATATTAAATTTTTTTAAATTTATAACAATGGGTTCCATTAATGAATTTTTGTATTTTGGATATAGGACCAGAGCAACTTCCACCAAACCACCTTCTAAAAATTTGCACACTGTATAGAAAGAAAAAAAATTCAAATCAGTGCTCTTAATTGACTTACATTTTTATATTAATAGAGGGAGAAGATATTTTATGCAAGAAAAGATATTTTCTTGCACTTCAAAGATCGAGAGACAATCATGTTCAGTCCCAAAACTTGAATGCTCCAAAGATCTTGAAGTCTATAACATCACTAAATGAATATCTCCCCTTATATTTTTAATTTCTGGAAATAGTTGAACATCAAAATTTTTTTCATAGAATATTTAAGCATTGTTTTCATTGATATATCATCCTCATCTGACTGCAAAATTTCAATATCCATTTTTATCTAGTTCATCAGCCTATTCTTTTCGAGTTATTTCAAAATTAATCCAGGATTCATAGTAATCCAAAAATTATGTTTTTCTTTTAATAGAAAAAAAAAAGAATTTTTTTATTTATTTCAGAGTCATTAACTTAAACCAAAATTTAGTTGCAATGTCTAAAGTTTTTCATTCATCAGATTAGATTCAAGTAATGGTGTAGTGACTGTATATGAGAAAAAAAAATCCTTTTTACATGCCTAGTTTTTAGAGGGAATTAATGACAACATATTGAGATATAAGAAAAACAGACCCATACATTAAAAATAATATTAATACAGTCAGACGTATACTTAACAAACTTCCATGTTGCAAATTTCTCTACTTTACGATTTTTTTTGAGAAGCCAAGAGCATTTTATAAATTTCTTCGTAAAATAAACTTCAAAATAGCGACGTGAATTTTCCATTTAACGAACTTTTCCTTAAGATCCACTTTCCCTATGTCCCAAAATATTTCGGAACATTTCAAACACATTTTATGGGGGAAAAGACAATGACTTGCTTTTTTGCTGACACTTAACTTTTAGAGAAAGCGGTAAAGTCCCTTTTTGTATGCATTTCAATTAAATCAATTTACAAATCAACTTGCGAGAAAGCATAACAGAAATTTCTGAAGTATCAAACTATAACGTTACAGATCGTACCAGTCATAACTATTTTGCAAAAGCTGGATTCTTAGTCAGCGCTGAGAATTTGGAAAGTGCAGAGGACAAGAGTGATATTCCTTAAGATGAACTTGAAAAAATGTGGGTACAGCTAAGAGTGAACCACGAAATTAATGATGATGTACTGATTAATCAGTTTCTTTTCATCGACTGCAACTATAGAAACATTAACTGAATCTCATATTTTGGACAGTGTGAAAAATAAAAACAATATGAAGAAATAACCAAAACTTCATATGATAAAATCATTTTAAAAAACAATTTACAAGATAAAGTTATATCAATTGCTATTTTAAATATATCTAGTATTAATGAATTTAAAACCTATTTTGTGTTGCTTAAGTATTTCAAACGCTGATTTTCCATTTAACAAATTTTCCACATAACAAACTTTTTATCGGGATTTAGCGACTTCGTTAAATAGAGGTCCGACAGTATTTTCGCAATTGCTCCCCGCTTTACGGATAAGTTCAGTAATATTATTTTGCTTAAAATTAAAAAGAGGAAATGAAATACTTACTGTTCATTATTTCGAATCTCCTCAGGTACAACCAAATGGATCATTTTCTGAAGTTCTGCCTGAATGTGAAAAAGATAGTGTCATTAAGTCTTTTTTTAATAAGCATCAATAATTACTAATTATCTTGCATTTGCATATTGAATATGGGAAGTTATAAAATTCTTTTTATAATTTTTTTTCTTTAAGCATATAAACTTATTAATCATATAAAACCATCTTAATATCCTAAAACCATTTTAAATTTAGAAAATGAATTGAATAGTTAGCTGATATCATTTAAACAAACTTTATTCATATCTATGTTACCATGAATGTCCCAAATCTGGAGAATGTAGAATTTAACATGTGAATGTCAACAATCAGTCGCATGAGTGAATGTTGGAAGTATTATGCCTAATTTTAGATTAATTTATTCGTTGCAACTTTAATATTCATGTGATGTTTTAATATTAAATTAAGATACATTAGAAAAAAAACCAAAGTTCGAAATGTAGATCAAGCAGTGGCACTTGACTTTAAACAATCAATGTAGGGAATGCCGGGCAAACAATATCAAATTAGATCTAGCATACATTTTGGACATATTCCAAAACGACTATGTGATTGTTGACACTCACCTGTAAAGAAATTTGGTTTTTTACAATAGCATGTATATTTAATAGTAAAACTTTTGTGAGTTGGCCCCTTGTGGTTAGGATAGGGTATTATATTGCGAAATATTGATCAGGGTGCATAGCCAAATCTCTCATCAAAAAACAAGCACCTTTAAAGTTCTTTTCAAGCACTATATACATTAACAAAATGGAAAATAGTTTTCAAGCACTCTACACGATCATGATAAAATAACTAGCTTCTGACAAAAAATTCTTTTTCTGACTATATTAGCCATGATAAAAAGATCGGGATTTTTCTGTTTAATTTCAGAGGGTGGAAAATGAAGTCTGAAATTGAGAATACCTTGAAAAATGCAGCAGAGTTGCACATGAGAGTGCAAGAATTCCACCGAACGCAGCTCAGTAGACGCGCATGCAAACCCGCAAGTATTTCATCAAACATGTAACATGATTAGCTCTTTCATACGCTATGGACCGACAATACAACAATATGGAATGTGAAAACATTGATTAGAACAATGCAAAAAGTGCGCTTTTGCATGATATGTGGCAAAAATCGACATGGTAAAAGAAAAAAAAATCTCATTTTCGGAAAGGAAAAATTAAGCACTTTTTAAAAACACCCCATGAGAGAAGCCCCTTTAAGGGCTTTTAAAAAACGAAAATCAAAAATAAGCACCATTAAGCACTTTTAAAAATGCTACGTATCATGTTAATTTAATGCATACATCGTTACATCAACATAGCGGTAGCAATGCAACTGAACTGTGACTGAAAACATCAACATTAGCTGATATTCGTGATTTAGTGAAATAACCATTTAAGATGTGAGGACCCTTATCTACGCTAATGCTGTTACTGCGCTGAGGAAGATAATGTTGATTTTCTCTAGCTACAAGGTCGATTTTCAGTTCATGATGTTGAATGACAAGGAGCAAATTGAATCAAAGGCTCAATTCATGTTCATGGATCTGAAGGCAGAATGGCCAGAAAGTACAATGCAATGCATTGTTTCTCTAAGCCCATTTTTTTCTCGAGATTTTAAAGTTTTGAAGATCATTTTCATTACAAATGTTCTGTTCCTTTTTATCATACAGGATAAAACACAATAGTGTAAATAAAAATTATTGGAGGAGTAGGAAACAAATATTTAGCTATTTTTTAACAAGGCACGTGACAATTTATAATGTTTATCCATTAAACCTACGACAGTAATTTGTATTTTCTTTGTTTAAACAAGCATGTGACTATTGAAAAATGTAATTAACGTACACATTGTAATTGCTTTATAACATACACATTTTTCTACACTGCAGCAATAATGAAAAATAACTGGACTCTGAACTTTTAACTCCAACATGCTTAATCTTGGAAATTATCACAGGTCTAGAGCTTTCAATGCTTTCAGAATTATTTGTTTTTCTAATAAACAATTTCAGAGCTCATTCTAGGCAGGGTAAACAGGGCGCAGCACCCTGCTGCCCTTTTAGTCAAAAGAATCCATCCTGTAGTCCCTGAAGTAAATTAGTGCCCTGATATAATAGACTCCATACCCTTTTTGCGCTTTTTTTCCTCAACCCTTCTTTGTTTTTTCCCCAAACTCTACTATGGATTTCTAAAATTTTTGTTATTTTCAACTCTTTTTATTTAGTTTGTCATTGATGTCAATACATAGTTTTATATTGGAAAGGAAAAATAGCAATCACACCCCCTTGTTGCACTTGTCTTTGAAAGTTTGCAGTTACTTCCACTATCATTAAATCATAATTATTTAGAACGTGTAAAGACCATAGAAAGAAATTATTGCCTTTTTAGAATAATAATGCCCTTTTTTTAAACTTCTGTACCATGCCCTTTTTTCTGCCTAGAATGAGCTCTGAACAATTTTAAGGCTAATTTAATGTATAAACATCAGAAAAATAAATAAATAATAAATTTAAGATAAGTGAATAAAAAATACCTCAAGCTGACTAACTTTCTGTTTCAAGAATGTCTTTTCTTGTTCACTTTCTTCAACCTTTCTTTTAATATGATCCATATCCTATAATTATGCAAATAATATAATTATATAAATTTTTTTTATTATTCAGAATGTTAATGCTTCATCCTTTTTTAATATTTCACAAAAAAAAAAAAACCTGACAACATTATAATTTTAAATTAATTTCAATCAGAGAACATCATTAGAGAAAAAGAATCAGAAAGAAGGTACAAGAATTTGGTGGAAGAATTCAGAGAATAATGCCATATATATGTTTTTTCCTTGTCAATTTTTTCATCAGTTAAAACAGTAGTTGTTTTCACATCAAAAATAAATATGTGTAACAACAATTAAAACTGCAATTTAAAATATAAAATAAAATTAAACAAAAAATAGTAACTATATAATAAAATTACTCATTAAATTAATAAGTAAAATCTTAATTTCTAAAAATAAGAATTATGCTTACAATTTCAGTATGGGAAAGGTTTTCCATAGTTTTGCAATTTCCTAATATGCTGGTAAAGCTGTCAGCGAGTCTTAAAAAAAAAAGAAAAAAGTAATGAGTAAAAAAGTAATGATTGTTTAAAACTTAAATAATTTAGATATATTCATTTAAGGATAAATTAATTTTTTTTAATCTATAATATTAAAATTTCTATGTCCTAAATATACTAAAATCATATTGTTGACATGAAAAATTATATGATGCAAAATCATACAAGTATAATCAGAAATAAAAATACAAACAATGGCTTCATCTATTCCTTTTTTACTTTTCTTACTTACTCATCAAGTTGAACCTTAAGTAACGTAAAATGCTGCAACAATCCCTCTTCAAGAAGTTCAGACCTTAAATCCTTCATCTGTAAATAAATAGTGCGACAATGCAATACATGCTGCTAAAGCACACACATATAATGATCTTATCCAGATCTTAACAATTGTGAAGATAAAATTATTCACATATATTTAAATAAAGAGATTAAGAATTTTAAAATCCATAACATATTAATAAAAAACATAGTGCAAATTGAAAATTATTGAGCTGAAAGTGCAAATTGCAACTACTGACTAAAACTAATCAAAAGCTTCAACAATGATTTATTGTTATTAAAAAGATTTCTGTAACAATATCTGTTTGCAATAAGTCATGAGATTTTCGGGACAATCAGGAAATGACAAGCGAAAAACTATAAAAAAACATCAGAGAACAGTGGTGATTTCACTTCGCATGCCAACTATGCCAAAAATCAAAATCGGGATGCAGAATAAAAAGTTATGGGAAAATCCTACTATAATGCAGATACAGACAAGGTGCAACTTTCATGGGTGTTTGGGAGGATCTGCAGGAAGCGTGTCCGCACATGTAAGAGGAGCTTTAATTCTTAACACACCAGCTTCTTATTTAAACAGTTTGTAGAAATTGCCCTATGTGCGTACCTGCGCCACAATAATTACCAAGTTTTTGGCAACTTATGGGCAGTGGTCCCCGAGAAACTAGCTTTTAGACACCTCATAGTAACCGAAACCCTTTTTTTTATAAAGATTTGGCCATTCAAAAATTTTTTAGCGCCTTGACGAAGGTAGGTGCCAGAAACGGGTGTCGTTAAGAAAAAATCAACGACGCAAACAGTTGCTGATAGCAATATATCCCCTAATAAAGATATCCGGAAAATTGTTTAAAAAAATTTAACGATACTTAATCACTAAAGATGTCATGGAATATGGAGTTTGTATGTAATAAATATTGGCGATTTTTAAAAAGCATTAATTGTAACGCAAGCATTCAACTTACCGTGATTAAAGTATAAGAATTAGCTAAAGAAAAATAGGTACATCTAAGGTGCTTATTTAAAAAATGAATGATCGTAGAGGATGTATGTGCATTAAATAATATTGTAGAAGTAAACGTTGAAAACAACGAAGGTATGAACAAGGTGATGGTATGGAAAACACAAAAAATGATTTGCCGAAGTTTCCCTTAACTTATAGCTTTCATATCTTAGAACAACTGGACCTAAATCGCTCTTTTCTGAGAAGTTAACAACAGACCGGTTTTATGCACAGAACTGGCGCTCACATCTTTATGGGTAATAAACATAACGCGTAATCAGTGTTGATCATTAAAAAGGTAGTTAAATATCAATTTTAAAAATTTTTTATTCCTGAAAACCAGTATAATATTTTGTATATTGCTTAAAGATGTCCATATATTGCTTGTAATTTATTTTTTTGCTTATTAAAGTTTTAAAACCAGATATCACTCAGATTACAGGCAATTATATGGATGCTGTTTTCGATATGAATGTAAACAAAAACAATCTCGAGCTCTTGACTTGCTCTACTTCCGGTTAGAAAGTATACAGCTGCATACTACAGTTTATTCTTCGAGGCAATATTTCCAAACAGATAATTTTATTTTTAATAATGTAAATAAACAATATAATTTTCTAGCTCAAATCAGCTGTATTTCATAAGATATCAATGATATTAAATAATTCTGGTGAGTTTGAAGAAAAAAATTTGTTTCAGTTATTTATAGAATAGATGCATCGTTAAAAAAAGGGTAACTTGATCGATGGATTTAGAAGGAACTCGCTTCTTTGGCAGTACCGATTTGGCCCCTTTTTACTATTACTGTTTATTCTTATTGCAAGCCATGCATCATCATGCGTTAGAGTTAGCATATTGTTCGAGTAGCGAGATTAGGTTCATTTTACAAATTTTCATTTAGGTTTGAATTTTCAAGCTGGTATATTGTTGACAAGGTAAGAAGTGTTTTATAGCGATTCTTTTCTTCATATGACGATTCTTTCGTCTTGAAATGACAGGTCTTTAAAGAACGATTATATGTAATGTTCATGTCTGGGGATTTTGGTGGTCAGCGGAAGTGTCTAAATTCAGAAGAGTGCCGCTGGCCACCAAAATCCCCAGACATGAACATTATTGAACATATTTGGGATGCCTTGCCACGTGATGTTCAGAAGATATCCCCACCCCCTCTTACTCCCACTGGTTCATGGACAGCACTGCAGCATTCATGGTGTCAATTATCTCCAGCACTACTTCACACATTGATCGAATCCACGCCACGTCGTGTTACGGCACTTCTGCGTGCTCGCGGGGGCCCTACTCGATATTAGGCAGGTATACCAGTTTTTTTTTTTGCTCTTCAGTGTATTTCCGATAAGATTTCTACTTTAGATTCAGGATTAGACTGAATCGCATGTAGAGTTTAATGGCAAAAACGTTGGTATAAGAATTTTGAAAAACATTAAATAAATTAAATAGCATTAAATAAATTATATAACTAGAAATCAAGAAGTCTTTGTTGCTTAAAAACTCACCCTCCACTATTTGAGATTTGTGCGAAATGTTTTTCCAGTAGTAGAGAACTCGCGTAAAATTTTTTAAACATTCAGAATTCTTGTAAGACTTTTAAGACTCTGAAGTGCATGACTTTCATATTTCTTTTTAACACTAGATTGCCTAAGGAAGTCATTTTGACTGCTTTTAATTTCAATTAGATAAACAATGATGTATATAATGACACAATTTCTTAGTATTTTGAACAGCATATAATTTTTTTATTGTTAATATTTACTAAAAACTTATTATATAACTGTAAATAATACAAGAAATATTAAAAAATAATTTTAAACAAATTTCGTTACACATTACAAAACAAATGAAATAAAATAAAAATATGACCACCGAAGCCAACGTCTTCAGGGGGTACCGGCCCCGGTAGCCATTAAAAACAAAACCATTTCTATTTGAGGGAGAAGCAAAAGNGTATTCTTTACACATTATTTATTCTTTTACAATCCAGTCATTTTAACTGCTTTTGGGCAATATAGGTATATACTAAGTTTCAGACTTTCGAGTGTTAAATATGCCTGTTTTAATTATTTACAGGTAGTGGTGGAGAAAATCCTTTTAAATCTGATTTATTGCATGAAATATTACAGCAAAAGTTTTGCTTTTTGCTATCACTGATAAAAAAAAAACCATTTTTGGTAGCAATGTAATACCGTAGTAGGTGTAACGTATGTCAAAACAAGTAACTCTGGGGAACAAATTTTTTTTATTGATTTTTATTGATTTTTAACTGAATATTTTTGTTTTGCTAATTTCAATTCTGCGAGCGGTTTCTCGCTACAAGCTACAGTTTTTATGAAATTAAATAATAAATTCCTAACCAGAATTTTTTTAAAATTGACTAGAGCTAATACTAAGTATCCCCCCCCACTTTTCTTCCTACCACTCCCTATGTAGCAGAGAAGTGGAGATACGTAGTATTCACTCGAGTGAATGTTAAAAAATGGTAAGTAATGTATTAATGAATTGCATAAAAACTGTAGCTCATCTGGAGGTTATCATACAAATTTGAAATCAGTGACGCTAAAATGTCTAAGATCCCTTCAAAAGTCTCAGGCAACAAGAAAAAGCAACAAAAAACCCAGAAAACAAATGGTAAAATGAAAACATTAAAATGAAATACTAAAATAATTCACGAGGTCAGAAAGAGTCATGAATTATCACTATTAAACAGTAAATTTCACTATTTATATTACCATAAGTAATAATTAATCAATAATTCATTACCTAATGAAACTATAAATTAAATTTTTTTTATTGTTAAATAAATATTAATAAAAAGAGTAAATAGTAAAGTAATCAATGATAATGCAGTATGAAAATACTTACAATAACCAATAACTGTCAGCATTATTCATGAAAACAAGTTTTATGACATAAATACTCTGATACTATTTACTAAAATGAAATGAAAACAGATAACAATAATGCATTTTTAATTAACCTTTAATCACTATTGGATTACTTCGTATTAGCTAGTTGTACGCTGGCTGGACGATACTGTTAAATACGAGAATTTCGGGGTTTTAAATCATTACAAACTCTTTTAACGTAATATATTTGATAACAAAACAGGGAAGATGTTCACGATACAGTGCCATAGAGGAAACTGATTACAATTAATGATTTTACATTACTGCGCAGAGCTCCATCTGTTGAGTTATAGAAATTATTATTAACATTGAGAAATATTATTAAAACTTTCCCCCGATGAACTCTTAGTTAATTACCAATTAAACGTTTCAAAATATTAATCAAAGTTATATTTCTCAAATGTAAGGTACCAATATTTTAAAAAGTAATGTAATCTAAATTTTTTACTATATGAGTCATTCTTAATTACATAAAGATTATAATTCAATAATATTAATCAAATTCATAAAATAATGTGTTTCATGAGCATTAGTTTAAACCTTTAACAAATTATTGCCTTATAAATGAAATTATTGAAATTTAAATAAATAAATATCAACTGATGTAAATAAATTATCATAGCATGAATAATAAATCAAACAATTTTCACAATACAAATTCTTTCACATGCAAAATATTTCCATTTTAAACAAACACGTATTTAATGGCGTTAATTTACAACTTCAAGGCGACGAACTCAATTTGATCCCTAGAAAATCAGTTATTTCTACCTTTCTAAAAAAACTAATTTTGTGGAAGCAAAATTTTGGTAGGAATGAGTTCAGCTAATTTCCAATCTTATCTTATCTTAAAAAGAAAGGCGTAATTCTCTCTGATGCTACACAAGAACATTGTCAACACCTTAGTCTTTGCACATAAACTTTTCTGACCGCTTTAAAGATGTCTTGTCCCTGGAAGTCCCTCAGTGGGTTCTGAACCCTTTTGGGAATATTGAAACAGCAGAGGTTCAGATTCAGGAGCAATTGGTCGAACTTTCAACTAGTGAAGCTTTGAAATGATCATCTCAGTCGCCTCTACACTGGACTGTTGATTATCGTCAAAAAATGTTTAATTGCCTAACGTTTCTCTTACCTTGTCGAACTTGGATTCAATTCCTTCTAGTCACAAAAAGGAGAAATTGACTCTAAATCGTGCAACGAAGGAACTTTGTTTTCACCTCACTAAAAATATTGAACCGAAAGTTAAGAAACTGGCTCTGAACCATCAAGTAGCAACATCCCACTGACATAGTTACTCGATTGTTTGGTTGATATTACTTTTTGGTGTAAAAAAATAGTTTTTTAAATTATCTAATTAAAAACAAATTACTCTTTTTAAGCTTAATTTTCTTTGTTGTATTTTTTTTCATTATAGTATTTATTTTGATTATGACAAATAGACTGCGATTACATGACGGGAGAAAAGTATCGAGTTAACGTACACATGAATTTTTTTTTAAGAGGAAAGCAAATTTAACACGTAAAAAATTACTTAAAAATTATTCCTTTTATAATTCAGCACATCCCCCCCGTCCCCATACTCTAAATAACTGGATTTTAACAAAGAGGGGTCGTTGAAATGTATTTCGCTTCTTAAGGAGGCGGCAACGTTAAAAAGGTTGAGAATCTATGTTCTAAATGTAATCACGTTTCTTATCATTAGAAACATAAATTGAATAGCATTAGAAAAGAATGAATTCTTATCAAATATTATCATGATATTGATGCCCTTTCCTTACGAATAAAAGTATTATAAAAACATGATAAGCTTGAATAAAATGAAACAAATCAATATGAATGAAAATGACTTAAGTACAATGGCATGACACAAATACATAATGGCATAGATTTTAACAAAATGTTGCAATATTTTTTTATTGATTAAATTAAATGCTTTAAAATTGCTATGGCCCATTACAATTTTTGAAGGAGAGTAAGTTTCTGATTTTTTTTTCTTTAAAAAAATATTCAAAAGACCTGGAAATCGTAGTATAAAAGAAGAAAATCGTGGAAAAAAATCGTAATAATATGTAACTTAAACCATTTTTCCTACCTTTCAAAAAAGCTTACACAACTTCAAGAGATACAAGCTTGTAATTACAATTTGATTTTTATAATAATTTTAGAGAGCAGCAGTGGTGAACTTGATTTGATAGGGGAACAAACATGCTGATTTCCATAATTGTATCTGTAGTCTCTATTCCCTTTGGTATGAAGAATTATTATTTTATATTCTTACTGTACTTCACAAATTTTCAATTTATCTCAGTAAGAACTGAAAAGAATTTTTCATTTAATTTTTTTTCCGGTAGAGGTTTAAAATTGTTATGTCCCACCATTTAGTTTCAAATAATTAAATTTATGAATTTTTAAACATAATTAGTTATTTCCATTTTATTTCGCATCATTTTTCGTATTTCACTCCTCTTTTTTATTTCACTGACTGTAACTTACATAACTTCAGGATAGACAAGTCTGTAGTTGCAATTAGTCTTTAATTATTAATTTGAGAGTAGCATTTGTGAGTTTGATTTTAGTTGGAACACACAGTGCTGATCTCAATAATCGTATCTTTAATCATTGTTTTTTTAGGCGTGTGGCATTATTATTTTTGTTTTTCATTTCTTAATATTTATCAAAACTTTAATGCATATCACAGAGAAATTGCAACTATTTGTTTTATGAAACTAAATGCACCTAAATGAATTAAAATAGTTCTATTTGGGGCTGTCCATAAGCGATGCCACATTTTTTAAAAAATATATTTGACCCTTCCTGCCTTTTGTCACAAAGTGTACCCTATAACAAAGTGTACTCCCTTCAGAATACTCTACCCTCTTAGGTTATATAACACAATATTAGCAATACAGAGACAAAACAAGAGTTATTGTATTTTATAACAAATATTATATTATATAATATTACATAATTACATATTATATTATTACACTGGTTATCATAAATTAAGGAAAAATCACAAAAATAGCGATAACTCTTTCAAAAGTAAGCCAAACCGTGCAAAATTTGCATATGTTGTCCACTAAGAGTAGCTGAGTAAAATTGCAATNGTAGAGGAGAAGGTGTAAAAATGGGCACAGGTGTAAATATGGGCACCCCTCCCTAGTAGCTATGGGAGGTACTGAAGACTGGCGGCAAGGACTGTATATGGCGCCAGTTGCTAATATAAGATTGTACAGAGCAGTTAAAACCATTTTTTCAAGTAGTGTGCATGCAGCGTGAGTTATTGCGCAAATTGGTGTTTATTCTGGACTGCAAACTTTTGAGAGGTATGTGAAATCGTTTTCTTTCATGTACTTATGTTCAGTTAAAAATAATTTGACAGTGATATCCGGAAAGCGGAGATCTTAAGCTATTTTTGAAGCACACCTTTAGTCACGCATGCTTTTAGGTTACTTGTGATAGTGGCCATCCTTCTTAGGTGGGGTTGGTGTAAATATGGGCCCCCATTTAAAGGGTGCCCATAATTACACCAACTTTTTTTAGTGGAGTTTAGCACATCAGGCTCTAGTTATGCCAATTGATAAGGCAGCTGAAATACCTCAATGTTCCCCGGGAACTTCAAGTGCAAATTCTCTGTTCGACATATCTCCTGTTCCCAACATTAAGAAGATAACCACTACTCGTGGACGCAAAGCAGCAAGGTCCAGCCTCATCACCGGATTACCATACAAGGATCAGTTGACTAAAACGCTTGACAAGTGCTCTCAAGAAGACGTCCTTGAGTTTTCCCGGGGTAAGAGACCGGCCAGAGGGCAGCGTGGGAAGACGAAAGGCCTTCAAAAAAAGAAAATTCGGCCCAAGCAACGATACGATTCATCATCGGACTCATCAGACTCGATGACCCTCCTCTTATCTACAGCGATGATGATACGAATCTAATAAATGTCAACGGTGGGGATAACCCAGACTCAAGAGATGCAACTTGCAGCTTTTGTGATGGAAAGTTCTCTGAAGACACTCGAGAAGAGGTGTGGGTAAGATGCGTTATGTGCCAAATGTGGGCACTGTGCCGGGGGTGAAAGAGCCAGTTATGTTTGCGATTTCTGTAAATAATTTTTTTTAATGTAATAAATAAATTCTCTACCATTTTGTATTGTTTTATCCTGTTTTTTAACTAGTTTTGGTGGCTTTTTTGAAGAGGGCCCATATTTACACCCCATTTTTTCTAGTGCTTTTTTAAAAGATTTTTGAAAATCGTCGTTTTTGAAATGAAATAATTGATGTTAATCATTGTTTTGCCTTCTCGCATTTAGGAAACTTGATATAGTTGTTAATGAAAGATAAAAATCTAGAAATTTTCAAATTGAAAGTAACTTTATCCAAAAAACAAAAGAGGGTGCCCATATTTACACCTTTTCCTCCACACATCTCTGAAGCCATTGATATTTAACTATAATTTAAAGATTAAAAGTAATTTTTATGGCCGAGAGGTGCAAGGCGCCAGATATAAGCTCTGGTTCTCGAACGAGAGCGTGGGATCGAACCCCACTTCTGACAAGGTATTGCTTTTACTAGTTAACATGATGTAAGATTAAAAGAAAAACACTTATGTAAGAATAATAAGTATTATCAAACGACTTTTTTTAAAGAATACACATCTCTGAAGCCATTGATATTTAACTATAATTTAAAGAATAAAAGTAAGTCAGAATGACCGAGTGGTCTAAGGCGCCAGATTTAAGCTCTGGTTCTCGAAAGAGAGCGTGGGTTCGAACCCCACTTCTGACAAGGTATTGCTTTTACTAGTTAACATGATGNGGTGCTTTTTTAAAAGATTTTTGAAAATTGTCGTTTTTGAAATGAAATAATTGATGTTAATCATTGTTTCGCCTTCTCGCATTTAGGAAACTTGTTATAGTTGTTAATGAAAGATAAAAATCTAGAAATTTTCAAATTGAAAGTAACTTTATCCAAAAAACAAAAGAGGGTGCCCATATTTACACCTTTTCCTCTATATATATATATATATATATATATATAAAATACATATATATGTTACCGGCAAAGTATGAAACGCCGGCATTGTATAGAATGCCTAGTCATTCTAAACAATGCCGGATGTATGAAATGTGAGAAGTATTACATACTTTCCCGAGGCATTGTATAAAATGCATAGGTATTTTATAGAATGTCGGATGCCATTTAGACAAAGTATGAAAAAAACATACTGATTAGGTTATTATGTAAATGGTGTGCATCTTACTGTAAATGACCGAAATCGGTAGTTGTTGACTTTCACCGGTGACAATCACATAGTTGCTTTGGTGAATGTCCGAAATATTTATTACATCCGATTTGATATTAATTTATTCGTGGATATAATTACATTTATTCGATATTTTAATAGTTACTGACGATAGATTAGAGGAAACATCAGTGTTTGGAGCATCGGGCAAATATGTACCGGACAATGGCACTTGAGATTAAAAAAACATCAGTGTAGGGTATACCGGGCAAATGTATACCGGACAGTGGCATTTAACTAGACCTAGTATGACTAGACCTTTGGTAAATGGCCGAAATTTATACTAGGTCAAGTTAAGTGCCACTGCCCGGTATACATTTGCCGGGTATATCCTACACTGATGTTTTTTTTAAGGTCAAGTGCCACTGCCCGGTATGCATTTGCCTGGTATACTTTTGCCCGGTATACCATACACTGATGCTTTCTTAAGGTCAAGTGCCACTGCCCGGTATACATTTGCCCGGTATACCCTACACTGACATTTTTTTAAGGTTCAGTGTCACTGCCCGGTATATATTTGCCTGAAACTCTAAATACTGATGTTTCTTCTAATCTATCGTCAGTAAGTATTAAAATATTGAATAAAAGTAATTATATCCATGAATAAATTCATATAAAATCGGATAACGTGTGGAATTAGTCATTTTTGAACGACATTTTGACGAATCGGATATGTATTTTATACCTTGCCGGTTTCTCATTTGGCATTCTATGGAATGCCTAGGAAATGTATGAAATATAAATCATTTCATACTTTGCCGATAACATATATATATAAATATACAGTAAAACCTTTTTTATTGCGGTGGATAGGGACCGCATAAAAGAAATCGCACAAAAAAAAATTCGAAAATTTTATAAATTCTGACATGCAATAAACAAGTTTGTACGATATACCACCAAAAACTTTTTTATGCAGTTGATAGGGACCGCATAAAAAAAGTCGAACTCAGAAAATACATCAATAATTTATGAAATAGATGAGAGAATGCTTTTAATAACATTAAATAATTAAATTAGACCTAAAGAGATTTTAAAAATATTTAATTCTTCATTGTACATATACATGTAGAAGTTTTCAAACTATACATTAACTAGTTTGCCGCTACTCGTCGTAATCCAAAACGCGCATCTTCTTGTAATGAATTGGTTGAAAATCGCTGTCGTCGCTTGAAGATAGGGTTTCAATTGATTTGTTTTTTGGTACCATAAAGTCAGTGATCAGTTTTTGTGACGACGGACGACTGGTCAATTGCATGTAAACGTCACGATAGTGAGACATGCATGATCTCAGTTCTTTTTGGAGTTTTAAGCGTCTTTCCGCATTGTTATCTATTTTAAGAAAATGCATTTCCAATTTTTTCGAAATCTGGACCCCTGCATATATTTTATCTGATGTAATAGATTCCGGTTCTTCTTGTCCATTTTCATAATCTATCAAACTATTGATAATGTCACTATCGTCCACAGTTTGGTCCTCAATCATCTCGTCCAAGTCATTAACGCCGATGAACCCTGATCACTCTATAATCTTTATTTATTATTATTTTTTTTTACAGAAATTCTTTACTGGATTAAGTGGATTGTTGCATATATCGCTGTTCGGATATACAATGCAAAACATCGTAGAAGATTTGATTTGTATAAACCATATGCAANTTGGTGTATAAAGGTTCGCCACCCCTGCTCTTTAATCTTTATTTATTATTTTTATTTACAGAGATTCTTTACTGGATTAAGTGGATTGTTGCATATATCGCTGTTCGGATATACAATGCAAAGCATCGTAGAAGGTTTGATTTGTATAAACCATATGCAGTCGGAGATCCTGAAAAAGTGGGCTTTCTTGTTCCTCAATTAGAAACTGAACTAGAATCACCTCAATCGGAGACCGATTTGCTAGAGGTAAGAACCTATAGAGTTTCTATATGGGTAGTTCTAAGAAGTTGAGAACACAATACAAATCTGAACTCTAGGGTTTAAGTCTAGCTTTAAGCATTGAAGGCAAATTAATACTTCTCTCTAATATCATGAATTAACAAAAATTATGGAAACAGTTCACTTTCTTTCTGACCATAATGTTCAATTTCGGACATTCACGGTGTTGACTGAGCCAAATAATCCAAATCGCGTTAAGATCGCTAGGCTGATAGTTTTTCTCATAAATATATAAAATAATATGATATGCAAAACTCATTAAAATAATTATTATAGTGTTAATTTTTTTAAAAGGTACTTTTTATAAGTTGGGAGTATTTATTGCATATAAGAAAAGTATCATTAAAATTTAAACTGAACTATAGTTAATATTATTGGACTCACATTTTTAAAGGTAAGCATATTTAAACGTAGCCTGAAAACTAGAAAGTCAAGTAAGAGCAATATTTTTTGCATAATCTGTGCTTTTTATTGTTTTCTCTTAAAGTGCAATATCCTTTTTTTGGGGAGGGGTCTAAATATTGTCTAAGTATAATTTCTTGCAAAAAATAACCTTTAGTAAATATTTGTTATTTTGCATTATTTTATTTAAAAATAGTCAAAATAAGTTTGATTTGCATGGTAAATAATTTTTGACATCATTTTAAAGAATGGGAAAAATGCAAAATTTGTGCGAAATCAGGCAAATTAAAAAGAAATCAAAATAAAAAAATTATTTTTTTTGCTCTTTTGTAAGTAGATTTGCAGTGGTGGTAAAAATGTATAAAATATTAACGTTTGTTTAATTTTCATCACCAGTTCTTAAAATTTGTAAGACTTGCGAGGATCTCGTTTCAAGATCTCTTTTTTCTTTTCAGTCGGCGGATGAGGTACAGTTCTACGGAATAAATTCGAAAGCAGAATGTGTTCTGGTCCGCATCACAAGAGGATGCAATCAAGAAGCCGAAGCTTGGATCTATTTGAAATTGGCTGATGGCACGACTTATCATTTGGCTGAGCATGTCAATTATCAACAACCATTTGAGGGAAAATGCCTGGTATTTTCTTGCGGGAACTTACAAATGCATTATTTGGCACCGATGAGAAGATGGAGAATACAATACTGTGGTTCTCTAATGTAAGAAATTTAATAATTTTTATCATTTTAATATTTTTTTTATCACTTATTTTAGCATTTTTATTATGTTACGTAATTCTAACGGATTAAATTGTAAGAAAATTAATTAATTTCCAGATAGACTGATATAAAATTACTGTTGCTTTTAAGGGCACTTAACTCTTTCATCGCAGCGAACGAGATAACTCGTCTTCCAGGAATATTCGCTCGATTGTTAATATTCGCTCTATTGTTATATTAGTGAATAAATGTGGTTATTGATTATTATTTTTTCAAAGTAAAATAAACAAGTTTCAAACAAATTTGAGTTTTGTTTCAATTTTAGAGCGGGGGGGGGGGAACTCTAAGCGTAGAGGGTGGAACAAAGTGCTTCTTTGCCGCGATGAAAGTACTAAAGTCACTATCATGGTCCAAAAGCTTGCATGTATAGACGGAACCTTTCCCAGAATTAAAGGACAATTTTGCTGTATTTACAGGAGAAGATTTTATAGTGGTAAAACAAAATTATGTCGAAGAATCAACTATTCAAAGAATATTTTTTTTGAAATTTTTCTCCGTTGTTAAGCATCCCAAATTCCATGATTGTTGGGCAGCGGACTTGCTCTAGGAGAAATTTTTCCATAGTAGTATAGAGTGTTTCCTTGTTAGTAATATAGGCTAAAAAGATGATTTTAGTAAATTTACAAGATAATTTCACTCTCAAAACAATTTAAAATTTAGTTGAAAAGCTTAATCATCAGATTTTGGAAATTACAATACTCACGCTTATCATACATTTAATTTATTTCATGCCAATTAATTTTTAAAGTACCTAACCCTAGGGGTTATGTGCTTCTTTATTTAACATAATTAGAAGCTAAAGAGCGGGAAAAGGGGAGGGGGTGAAAATTAGCGCAAGTGAAAGGGTGAGCAATATGAAACTAAATTAGATTAGAGAACGGGTGAGAAATATGAACTAAATTACGTTAAAACATAGTTAAACATGAAAACATAATTAAAATTTAAAATGATTGGAAACTATAAATAGAGAGATTTACTTAAGTTACATTACGAAATCAAGTGAAACTATTTATATTTATTTTTATTATTTCAGGCGAAAATCTGAAAATAAAGAATTATCTGAAGGAAAGACTTTTGTGAAATTCGTGTTTTTGTAAGCAAATTATTGTGTTTCCTTTTGTGTTTTTAAAAACTATATTTCAGATAATATATTTTAACTTTAATTATAGGGATTGTTTTGAAATTTACTCATTAGCTCAAATGAATTAGTTTTTTCAGATAAAGTATTTCTAAGTGTTTATTTATTTTTTAAATTTTATTAATAGTAGTATCTAAAACTCTCTCGGTTAATAAAGAAGAATTTATTTTTAAGTCCGACTCAAAAATAGTTTTCCACACTATCCAGAAAATAGGTTTAGTTTGTTATATTAAGGTTGAATTTGATTAATAACTTATTGTTACGGATTCAATCAAGATCAGTCTTGGTTTAATTTATACACTCATTAATTTATTAGTATTCATTATTTATTTCATTAAATGTACCTGCAACTCGCGAAAAAGAAGATTGTAGAAATCAGCTGGTTGCTTATAAATAAGACGATGTGTTATTATCATGCCGAATCAATTTTCGGATCAGATTTAATTGGGTACATATAAGTGGCATCAGACGTGAGTGTCCAACATGATTGGCAGCCGACATGCACCTGATTGGTTGATGAATCGTGGCAAATGCGAAGCTGCCAACTTTCAAATCTCTTTGTGAAAATTTATTCCAGTAGTAGCTAATTAATGCTTTAATGTATTTTTTTATTCCTTTAAAATTATTTTCCGCACCACTACAGATAAATGATTTAAGTGTTTATATGCAACGTCACATTGCACCAGATCCTTTGTGGTGAAGCTTTTGAAATTTTGGTAAACTTACCAAACATTCTGAAAGCTTTGGCTTCTAAATGTCTACCATTTTATAAAATACACCGGTGGACAAAATTAAGGCATTTTCCCAAATATCTCAAAAAATATCGAATATAAATAAATGAAATTTGGTATGGAGCATTGTCGTCCATAAAAATGAACTCAGGCCCCAACAGCGCCCCTGAAAAGACGCACATAGGGCTCTAGGACCTCTTGCCTGTACCTCTGGGCATTCACGGAACCATTGTCAAACACATGGAGTGCTGTGCAGGTATCTTGCATGTGCGAATAAATGTGCGAAAATACTTTCCATCTCTTAATTTTGTCCACCAGTGTAGTTCGCAAAATAAGTAGTAGTTGGCAGGTCTGCATATCACGATTCAGCAGTCAATCATGATCGACATCCATGCGTAACGTTGCTTATAGGTATACCCAACTGTTATGATAGGTTATTTTTTATTGGAATCTCACACAATCTGAGATTTCAAAGGTTTACTCTTTCGCATTTTACATTGCGTCTAAATTTATGATTTATTATTTTTTTTCAAAATTGAACAAAAATATTCTATAGACAAAAAATTCTTAGTAAATTTTCTGTTGAATTTCTGATAGTTATCATATAAATGTGGAAAACGTAATTGAAAAATATGTGATTAATATGAAATAGGTAAAGGGAAAACAAAATACAGTGATATATCAATGAGTTGCAATGTTTTTTTAAAAAAATTATATTTTTGATTTGCAATTCCAAGGTGGAATGCTTCATCTGACGTCTATGATATTAATGATGTTTCAAGAAATATGACTGGTTTTGCCAGTGCCATGGCAAGAGCCGAATGGGATTCAGTTTTACAACCTCCAGTTCAAAAGTAAGTTATTCGATTTTTGGCCAAAGTGTTTTGCTATAATTTGAAACTAATTTTAAAGCTAATAAAGTATGTATATCAACACTTTTATTACATTATTAACATTGACGGGACTATGTAGTGGGCAGCCAGCTAACTTCACGTCAGAAAGGTTCTAGGTTTGAATCCCGGATAAGGCATGGGTGTTCTTTCCTTCTCTGTACTGTTTGCCGCTACTGTGGGAGCAACATTGGCCCACCTAATGTGTTGACCCTGAGAGAGTGTCTAACAAATTTGCCTTACTGATAACCGAATGACGAGAGTCAATCGGGTGGGCATTGGAAAAAGACATTGAATTCCACAGCTGTCGAGTTTTCCGTGATCAGATTTTCGCGTGAGATTTTTTTTATTTTTATCTTCAAAGTGGTAGCAAAATGTTATATATATATATATATATATATATAAAAATCTTTGTTCAACTATTGATTTATAACGATTTTGAACATCACTAAAAATAAATACTTCAATTAAAAATGAAGTTTTAATTTTATAACTTGCAAATAATAACTAACTTAATTTATAGTTAACAAATATTAAATGTTTGCATATTTTTTTTTATTACCTAATACTTGTTTCATTATGTATCACTAAGTGTGGACGAATGATGCATATTCAGAGATACCACAGGTGAATGCTCTACGCAGCCAGGTATTTCGTACTAACACATATCAAGTCCTGAGATAAAGTAGGCTTTGTTGAATAAATTGAAAAAAAAAATAACATGAATAGATTTACTCCTTCTAAAAAACTAGCCACAATTGAAGTGGTTTTACTGCCAGTTTTTCCGTTTCGCTTTAACTCCTGCTTCGTAGATACATTCGTCATAGATTGCAACGGCCATACATTTCTATATTTTGCTACCTGTTTATAAAATTATAAAGATCGTAGTGGCAACCCTGATATCGTGGTTAACTCGTTCTGGAACGCGATTTTCTTACAGCAGCAGTGCAGTTTATTGACATTTGCTCAAGAAAACAATAAAATAGAAATTCACTACATTTTGAATGCCAGGAAAATGACATATTAGCTTAGAAATTTGAAAAAACAGTCATTTTAAACTATTAGTAAGTATCAAAACCTAAGCCTTTATGTTAGATGAACCATGAATAACTTAAATTTATTCTTTTATCTACTGTAGAAGGAATCAAAAAAAATTTTGTTCTTGATATGTACAGAATAAAATTGTGTTCATTAAATAAATAAATAATTAATCGTTAAATAAATAATTAATCATTAAATAAATAAATAACTTTGATTACATTCAATCTTATTACTATAATACGTAAACTTGGTAAAAGGTTAATATTTGCTTTCCCTCCTTACAGTACTAGCAATTATGGTCGTAGGCTGATTCCTTGCAGACAGCCATCCTCATCCATTATTATATTATTCAGAAAAGACATCATTCATTGCTCAACTTGTCTGATTTATATCAGGCAGTTTATATTAAGTTCCGAGTAGGGATCCTTAGTGTAAATAGCTTCATTAAAGATTCATTGGAAGAAGTCAAAGTTAAATCCGTTTAATTGAGTAGTTACATATCTTCTAATTAGCTAAAGAAAATCAGGCTGATTGAAATAAACCTTAAAAATAGCAGGTTTTTAAATTCGGGAAGAAGTTTTTTACAGTTAAGCAATTACCTGTATAACTTGTATTACATTTATGCTGATGACAGGTATGGAAATTTGCATCCTCATGTAAGAAAACTGATTCCTACCATGTAATTTTCTCGAATGAATTTCCAACAAGAGTGTGTCGACAACAATAAGAAATGATTCATGGTGTAATATTTTTATGTTATGCAGAGAAAAGTATATAGATGATCATATATTTTCTTGCAGGTTTGTTGATAGTCTGAATTTCTATTATCAAATGGGAAACATAAGAGGTACTGTTTCTGTGAACGAGGATCCGGATTATGAGATGCATTTATTTGGTGAAAAAATGAGAATTTTAGGTAAAACATAAATGAATCTTTACCTCAATTCATTACTCCTTTTCCTAGAAATTTTTTTTTATTTGTCTTATTAATTTAGGTAAAAGTTCACACTTTTCTGGCTGCAAGTTTGAGAATTTAGTAGGATACGTACCACAGGTAAGGCAATCATACTTATTAATGCAACAAAATGAGCGATATTGAGATTTGATATTGAAATAAATTAATAATTAATGTTACTAATTTTTATTTTTAGAGTGGACATGGATTTCATTTGCGAAAAGCTTCAAATCCGAAAATCTTCAAAGAGTAAGTTTTAAAATTTCAAATTGTTATAATTATTTTTATTTCATGCTAAAGGACTTCTCTCCCCAACGGTGAACGATTGCTTACAAGCTCCTAACGGCAGTCCTTATATGCTTGCTACACAAGCTTTTAAAACAAAAAAATCTCTCCAAAAATGTGATTATAATTTGTTTTGTTATGCTTATTGAAAGTGATTTGATTTGTTTGGCCAGTTGTAAGGGATTTACGAAGATAAAACAACGACTTATTCAGCAGATAAATAAAACAAGTAAAAAAAGTGTAAAGTGTACGAGAAAAATAGTGAAAATGCACTTTAGAACTTCGGAGACTTAAATCGATACAATGAAAGTGAAATAAATTAAATATCTCAAGCATTTTTTTTATATTATATTTATATTTTATGTTTTTTTAACGCATCAAATATTTAGCCACCAAGTACACTATCTGTTTCATTCACATAGTAAATAACAATTTTACTTCATGGAAGTGCTGAAATATTTAAAAGCAGCCAAACAACCACATAAAGTAAACATACTTTTTTAAAAATAATTTTTTAACCGTCGTTGAATAGCCGACCCAATTTTGGGCTTACGACTACTAATGCGCAACTCCGTAGCCTTGTAATTTTGAACCAATCCAGAAGACAAGGAAACTCCTGGATCATTTTCCCCAGAAGTATTGATTTGTTATGGGGACATGGAGGCCCTTAGACTCGACAGATTTAACATGCATCAGTCACAATTTTTTTACACGGGGAGTCTTCGGCAGATGGGGATCGAACCCACGAACTCTTGGACATGTACCTAATGTCCTACCAACCAAGCTATCCCGGCCAAGAAAATATACTTATCGTTAATAGAAAAAAAACGTGTTAAGGTCATTTTAACTAAATACACTTATCGTTAAAAGAAAAAAAAACGCGTTAAGATCATTTTAATAAATTTGGAAAAAGCTTCGAAATGTATAGAAATCTTATGAAGCCTCTCCCCAAAATCTTTTGTTGGTACTTCGGTACCATTTATAACAATGTTTGACGAAATATTCTATCCAAAAACATTCATCATCGTCAAGTTGGGAACTGTGACTATTCAAGATGGTGAATCTTAAGCGTAACAAAAATCCAAAAACGCAAGAAAAATCTCAAGAATTTTGTCAAAAAATGACTTTAATTCTTAAACAACATACAGTGGAAAAAATCTTTTGCGGGATTAATTGTTTGCTAGGTATAATCCATCTTATCTTCACGTTTAATTTTCTTTTAGTAAAAATAATTGTATATGCGCTATAAAATAAACATATCAAAAAGAAAAAAAAAAGGCAATTATATTTATGCGTTCAATTATTAAAAAAAGTTGGTGTTAAAAGTCTGGGTTCATTGTTTAGCTTTAAAACGAAGCATTTTTCACTAAACCCCGTTGAATTTTAGGAGAGTAGGAGACAAATGAACATTTAGGGGAGAGTCGGGTAGCACCGCCCAGCGGGTACCCCCTCCCACAGTCAATTTCATGTGCATAGAATATTTTTTCAAGTCAATGGGTCATCGGACATTAATTGTTATATTAAAAAAAGATTATTTTCAAAGTTTCAAGTATTTATGCAGCTGGTAACATGGTAAGCAATAGTTTTGAAAATATGTTGAATACAGTAGTCATGAAATTAAGAAAAATTGGTTGAATGTTTCGATTAAACTTCATTTTAATACTAAAAAAATAATTTTTTCTATACATACAGCATTAAAGTATGTAGTCTTAAGTTTAATTTGCACAAAGAAAGAAGTTTGTATGTAAAAAATTGTTCGAGTAATTACAAATTTACAAAAAAATTGGATTTCGGGTAGCCCCGCTCACATGAATGTCGGGTATCACCGCCCAATTTTATTTCGTCGATAAATGTACGGTTGCAAAGATTATTATTTTATTGCTTCAAATTTGAATGTTATATGCATTTTTAACAACAAATATATGTTTTAATATTATATGAAACATAAATTTATATATTTAAAAATGAAAAATTAAATATTTTTAAAATGTAATTGATATATCCAAATTAAATTTAATATCAAGAAATCATAAATATTATGATAAGCTATTTGCTTACTTATTTGTGAACGAATCAATCTACAGAAGCATTTGAATGCAATTAAAATACAAAGTGAATTTGTAATTTTATAAAAAGTATTTTATATTAAGTTTATAAGAAGAGATCAACCAAATAAGTTTATATAGAAAAACAACTATTGTTATTAATTATTGTTACTTAAATTAAATTATTTTCGTTAAATATTTAATATAAATATATATTAATATTATAATATATTAATATACATTAATAATGATAAAAAGTATGACATTTGTTGTTATTAAATGATAGAATTCACTAAAAGTATATAAATATGTAATAAATAAAATAATTTTGTGATAAAAATGATAAATGAGGTTTATCTATTGTCGATACATTGGTCATTCTCATTTACACCTGAAAAAATAGCCAAAAAACCCAATTTTTGTAACTGGGCGGGGCTACCCGACACATCTTGAAAGGAGCTAAAAAACATGTTTTTTTAAATTTCTATTTTTTTAAGTTAAACTATTCTTTTTTTGGTTTATTCTTTTTGCATTATTTAACTAGATGGTAAAACAATAGAAACATACAAAAATATTGATTATTACTCAATATTATACAGAAATATAAGCAAAACTCCTTAGGTGGGCGGGGCTACCCGACTCTCCCCTATATATTTCAAAATACTCCTATAGAAGTGTGGTTATAAGATTACATTAGTGAGAGGTTATGATTTTAATGAAGCGTATTTAATAATTTTAGTGTACCAGCAGGCTTTCTAATCAATCCTTTTGGAGATATGCTTATTGTCAAGGATATTGACATTGCAATAAAACCATACAGTCCAGTTACTTCGACACGCAGTTTTGAAGCAAAATTTACAGCAGGTAGGTTAAAAATGTTGCTAAAAAAGTTTCTTTTAGTTCAGCCTGTAGCTCTGTGCGAGTTTATGCTATAATTTAAAATGTAAACTATAGTTCAAAACTCTATGCAGTAATTTAATAACCATATATATTGTAATATATAGTAGTAACTATATATAGTATAGTATATAAAGTATTATATAGTATTGTAATATATAGTAGTAATTATAAATAGTATAGTATATAAAGTAATATATCGTATTGTAGTGTAATAATAACTATACATAGTAAGTATATTTAGTAATATATAGTATAGTAATAACTATATAAGGTAAAGTTATGATAAATTATAGTTTAATATTAACTTTTAATTAATGACAAAATGAAAAATAAAAGCTAAATGAAAATTATTCATTTATTTTCAAAACTAGTTTGTTTAGAATACATACAAATAAATGTTTTCTTACAATAGAGTCATTATTATTGCACAATTTATATGTTTGAACTAAATGACGCAATTCAAAAATAATTTGCAACAATCCTGATGAGGCGTTTTATAACTATTTTTGAACTTCCAAATCTCTTTTAAGTTTACAGCCATCAATGTTCAACTCCGTAGCCTTGTAATTTTGAACCCACTCCAGGAGACAAGGGAAGTTCTAGATCACACATTGGGACTAACTAGATTTCATGGAGGACTTTCTGAAGGAACAAACCCATATTTACATTACATGGAGAGAAAAACCACGAAAAACTCCCTCGTTTAGCCCTATGGAAAATGGATTCTAACCCATGATCCATTTACCACTGAGGATATTTTACGGCAACATTGTGGTCGGCGCGAGCCAAGAGCTACCAGCCCACGCTGGCACTCGACTTTTGGTTAGTTAATGGGATGACGAGTTTCTATCCTTCGAGCCACAGCGACATTTGTACAAACCTTATATTTGAGGCGGTTAAGGCAATGAGATATCAATGTGAAATATCGGGGATATGTCCCTGGTGCCGACTTCACGCCCACTTAGCTTTAGATAGTTGGATACCAGTGTAACGGGATGTTAATGCAGCCAGTGCACAATGTGCTTACGCCATATAGCTACCATCATGTCGTTGATCTTGTAATTGTGAAGCCTAAAAGCTTTTCTTGGCTTATTGATCAACAATTGGCTGTTGCGGGAACACTATCTTTTTACGTATATATACATGATTTCTAAATCATTTTTCTCTTGATGCAATATTTAAAGTGAATTTTACATTTTTCACAACTTATGTGTTATAACTTCCTGAAATAGGTAAAAATGTAATTGAGCTTACCGAGACATTTTTTCTGTGCCTCCAAAAATTTATCGTCATAATCGCAATCGGTAAAATTTTTATAGCAAAACAAACCCCCATTTTTCAAATGTTTTTCTCCCATCTCAATCAGGGGTGGTATGGTTTGAATCACTCGATTTGAATCATGATTAAAATCGCCATTTAAATCATTCGATTCTTTGTAAAAAAAAAAAAAAACACTGATTTAAATCAAGTGCTATCTTTTTCTTAAAAAAAAGTCCTTAATTTAAATAAATTTTGATTTTTAAAAATAAATTATAAATTTAAGTCTAAAATATTGTTATACAATATTATACAGGGTGATTCTAAAAAGATAGGAAAAATTTCAGGAAGTGATAGTACACACCCAGACAAACAATTTTTATCAAAGAATGCATGGTCGAAAACAAAACGCAAAACCGCTAGNCGTAGATACATTCGTCATAGATTGCAACGTCCATACATTTATCCCTCTGCGTATATTCTAGAAATGCTTACACCGGTTAAGATAAAAAAAGTTAGATATTGAAAAATTTATGAGAAGTTTTGAAGCTAATTATTATTGTAAACATTGTTTGTGACATGCCAGAAACATGAAATTTTTAAGTTCAATTTAATTTTTTAAATATACAAAATAGTCGATGCTAGTACTAGGTTGTTTTAAAATGCTAACAGCAATGCTATTTATTAAATTTTTTCTGGAATAGATGCTACAGAAATGCTATTTAAAAATGCTATTTATTAAATAGCTTTGCTGTAGCATCTTTTAGTAGTTTAGTATTAGATCTTGGTGCAAGTGACTGTAAATTGTCATATTTCGTGAGAATCACCTATTTGCTGAATTAAGGTTGCCTACACTGAACCGGAGAAAGTTAAAAGACTTTTTTTGTATTATATAATTTGCTATTTAAAGTTAAAATCATTATTTCTTCTACTAATCACAAGAATTTCTTTTAATCGTCAAGTTTTCATTGATGAAGTAATTTAGGTTCTTTGTTGCCTTTTAAACTTTGAAACGTAGTGTACTGATAATGTTTTAGCATTTTTTTTTAACTGATCGATGTTTATTTATAATTTTTTTTTTATCAACACTAAAAGTAACCTTGACTAGAAAGAAAGACACTTTTTGATAGAAGCTGCCAGAAGTTAAAATTTTTTAGAGATAAATGAAATTGAAGCTGTAAATATATCTGAAAACAATTAAGCGATTCTACTCACTTTACATCAAGTTTTGATAACGTTTTTATCTGTAATCAAAAATGCTACAATTCTTTGAAGAAATTAGAGCTGATGAAAAATGTATAATCCAGACTGAATTGATACATTTAAAAAAAAAAATCGCAAAAATTTTTTGGGACTTAGAGAATTTTTCTTTTTTTAATCATAGTTTGAATAAGATGTAATTCTGGCCAGACATCTTTCTACGTTTTTTGAAAAACATCTTCCAGTGGTAACTAAGTATATGCTTTTATGCAAAATTCTTTCTTTTATAAATTTGGAGAAAAATATACTTGAGGGTGCCCCTTTGGCAAAATTAGCGACTTGTGTTTGGCGCTATTCCTGTTTGCGCGGAACACCGTGGTAACAGGAATGGCGGCCAAAAGATAATGATATTTCAATTGGAAAATTTCAACAAAACATCGGCCAAAACTTGCAATGAACCCAATGTAAGCAAAATTAATAGACCCAATATGAAGGATTTTGAATCGAAGCAAAAATTAATGGAGTAGGCGTAGAAAGGAAATGAAAAAAAAAAAAAAAAAAAANATAGAAAAAAAAAAAAAAAACAACAACTCTTCTTCATTAAGCTTGAATATTCTCAGATACAGGTACACAAAATTATCTAATAACAGTTAGATACTGTCTAAATTTATCATGAATAGAATCTGTGTACCTCCATCGCTTCATAAATTCGACGAAATACGAATCGAAAATGGCGTTTGTAATATCGGACTAGCGATGACATTTTTTTCTTAAATCCCTTTTTATGACTGCCCACATACCTTCGATCTTATTGACCAGATTCAAAAGTAACCTTACCAGCCGGTATCCAACGTATAACTAACGAACCTCTGAAATTACAACTGTTGAACATTTAAAAATAATGTTAAAATCTAAACCAATCAGAATAACGATTGGGTTTGAACATCGCCCAGCTTGGCGATAAACTGCGATAACTTGGCGAGAATTAAGGGGCACCGTCAAATATATATATATAAATACTACAACAATCACTAACGTAACTCTATTTTACTATTTTAGAATTAAATTTATTCGTTTCAGAATTTAAAATTTTTTTATGATAATTTTTATAATAAATTTTTTTAATAAGTTTTAAATTCAGAGCACAGAAAAGTTACCAAAATGTATATATTTCAAGCTGAATAATTCTTGATCTAATAATTGGAGTCCACGTACTAGATACAATATCATGGATTTGTAATATAATTATTATTAAGTGCAACCGATGATTTAAATTACGGATTTCGATACATTAATTTAGTTTCTCTTAATGAACATGATTTAAGCTAATTTGAATTTATGGTTATAGGCAGATTGAATTATACGATCCTTTGCAGACAGCCACCGTCATCAGCTATTTCCGAAAATGCTAAAAAATATTCCACACATATGGTTGTAGGCTGATTGAATAAAAGCTCTTTTGCCGACATTCACCGTCAACCGTTATTTCCAAAAAAACGTGAAAAAATATACGCATCTGGTTGTAGGCTGATTGAATAATAAGATCCTTTGCAGACAGCCACCACCATCCGTTATTTCCAAAAAAAAAAAAAAAAAAAAAAAAAAAAAAAAAAAAACGCTGAAAAATACTATACACATATGGCTGTAGGCCGATTGAACAATGAGGTCCTTTGCATCCATTTTTTTTCAAAAACGCTGAAAAATATTTAACAAATATGGTCGTAGGCTGATTGAAATACTGTTTCTTGCAGACAGCCATCGTCTTCCATTATTATGTTAATCAGAAAAGACATCATTCATTGCTCAACTTGTCTGATTTATATCAGGCAGTTTATATTAAGTTCCGAGTAGGGAAGTCTCAGTGTAAATAGCTTCGTTAAAGATTTATTGCAAGAAGACAAAGTGAAATCAGTTTAATTGTGTATGTATACATCTTCTTATTAGCCTATAGGAAATCTTGCTGATTGAAATAAACCTTAAAAATAGCAGGTTTTTAAATTCGGGAGGAAGTTTTTTACAGTTAAGCAATTGGGTATACTATAGCCTACGTCACAGGTTGTGTTATTCCTACTAAATTTAACCCATGAACGGCATTTTCTGCGAGCCTAACTTCAAGCCACAAATAAACAAACGAAGTTCTTGATCGTTTAAATAGCTGCTCGCCAAATTTTATTGCATTATAAAGAAAAGTAATTGATATTCGATTTTTGATTAATAATTGATTTATGTGGATAGTGGCATAGAATTTAGCATTGCGTCATGGTAAATGTTATTCCTACTAAGTGGAAGTAGTTGTGTTTTTTTTATATTATACCCAATTACCTGCATAACTTTTATTACATTTATGCTGATGACAGATGGAAATTTGCATCCTCATGTAAGAAAACTGATTCCTACCATGTAGTTTTCTGGAATGAATTTCCAACAAGAATGTGTCGACAACAATAGGAAATGATTCATGGTGTTATATTTTGATGCTATGCAGAGAGAAGTATATCATATATTTT